TCCAAATGCTGCTCCAAGTTACTTAATAGGATTTCTTTGTATTACATTTTTTCAAGAAATCGTACTTAATAAGACTACAAATGTGCCATTCTCTTTCAGCTGTAATGTTCTCAAAATTATTCTTGAGTGTACTGTGATGTCAATAAAGCTGTTTAGTTCATTTTTGTTAAAAAAGGAAAAAGAAATGCTTTCTTAAAGATTAGTGGTCATATTTCTCCTATCAGAGGGCAATATGGCAGTAAGAATTTTATGACCATTGACAATGAGATAATAGTTTTTACAGAAAATTAGAAATCAACTAAAAAAAACCTTTTTGGATTTGGTTATAAACCATAGTAAATTTAGATATATGGCTAGTAGATATTAAGTTGTTAATATGAGATCTGTCACATTTTTTATGTAAGCACTTAGTGATTTGAGCTTTTCTCTAAGAACTGCCTCTGTTACGTTTCATAGACTTTGGTATGCTGTGTTTTCATTTTCATTCAATTCTAAAAAGCTTATTATTATTATTATTTCTGTCTTGACCTAATTTTCATTCAGTAGTGAGTTGTTCAGCTCCCATGACTCTGTGTTTCGATTGCTGACATCCAGCTTTAATTCATGGGGGTCAGATAGGAATCAGGATGTTGTTTCAAATTTCTGGTATTTGTTGAGATTTGTTTTCAAATATATGATCAATTTTGGAGAAAGTTCTATGGATTTCTGAGAAGAGAATGAATTCTTTATTTTCAGGTGCAATGTCCTGTAGATGTTAGACTCACAAGATGTATTATATAATTTAACTCTAGAGTTTCTTATTTCATTTTTGTTTGGATGACTTGTCAGTTTTTGAGAGTGGAGAATCAAACTCACTCATTATCACTGTTTAGGCCTGATGTATCCTTTTGGATATAACTGTGTTTCTTTTATGAAATTGGGCAGCAGTGTGTTAGATGCATAAATGTTTAGAACCATATTCTCTTGATGAAATTTTTAAATGAGTATGTAGTATCTTTGTCTAGGTCTTTTGATTAGTTTTGGCTTGAAGTCTATTTCGTTATACTAAAATCATTTGGCCTTGCTTCTTGGCTGTTTGCTTGGGGTTACAAGCACACATGCAGCTGTGTCTGGCTGTATATTGAGGGTCCAAACTCAGATCTCCACACTTGCTCAGCAACCACTTTACCCACTGAGCCATCTCACCAGCAATTTATATTCTAAGTTACTTACTAGGTATGTAATTCTAGAATATCTTCTCCCTGTGAGTTGTCTTTTTATTTTTTGACAGTGTGCTATAAAACAAATACGAAAGTTTTCATTTATAAAGTTCTTTTTATAGTTTAGTTTGTCACTTGAGTTTCTGGTATCTAAGACTTTTTTTTGCCTGACTCAAGATCATAATAGTTTGTACCTACATTTTCTTCTAAGAATTGTAATTTTAGTTTCTTTTTTTTTCTAAGATTTATTTATGTATATGGGTACTTTGTCTGCATGTACATCTACACACCAGAAGAGGGCATCAGACAGATGTGAGCTTGCCATGTGGGTGCTGGGAATTGAACTCAGGACCTTTGGAAGAACAGTGAATTCTCTTAACCACTGAGCCATCTTTCCAGCATACATAGTTTTAGTTTTTACATTATTTATATCTAACACATTTTTGGATTTTTGTCTGGAAGGAAGAAGTCCAACTCCATACATTTGCAGGTAGACATCCAGTGCCAGTATGGTTTATTTTCTTTTATAAAGGCTACTTTCTCTGTTGAAAACTAACAGATTATAAATATGGATCACTATTCTATCTCCTTCATGCCAGTCCTTCCTTATGCCACAGACATTGAACTACTGTGGTTCTTCAGTACATTTTTAAAAATAATACATGTGAATAATCCAATTTTGTTGTTTTTCAAAGCATTTTATTTATTCTGGGTCTGGCAATCCATATGAATGTAAGGACTAGTCTATTTTCTGCAAAAAATCCATTTGAGATTTTGAGAGCAATTGTGTTGAACCTGGAAGTGAAGAATTAACAATATTAAGTCTTCTAATTATGAACATAGACTATCAGTTAATTAGCTATTCTATTGTTGTTTTTCAATGTTTTGAATTCTCAGTGTATAATTTTTACATTTGTTTCATCATCCATATCTAAGGTTTTTATTCTCGAGTAAAAAAAAAATTTCTTTTGCAAATAAAATTTTTCTTAGTTTCAGTTAGATTGCCCATTGACATTATATAGGAACAAACTGATTTTTACAAATCAATCTTGTATCCTCTGCCTTGCCAAATTGGTTTGTTAGCTCTAATATGCTTTCTTATGATTATTTAGAATGTTCGGTATACATACTGTCATCATCTGGAAATTTTCTTTCATTTTCTTCTCTAAGTTAGTTTCTTCTCATTTCACTTTCTTTACAAATTACCCCACCTAGAACTGCCAGTTCAATGTTGCATAAATTTAATAAGAGTAAATATCCTAATCCCATTCCTGATCTTAGTGGGAAACAGATTTTCATCACTATGAACCATGTAACCCCATGGTGTACAGTGATGTGGTATTATACTTCATGCTGAGTGTGCTACCAGGTTTATAAAGTTTCTTCTATTCCTAATGGTAAAAATTTCTCATGGAGTGCAGGATTTTACCAAACATTTCTTCTGCATCTAGTGGACATATCATGAAGTGTGTATCCTTTTTAAATTATGATGCATTATAATAATTATCTTTATGTTAAGTCAATCTTATATTCATGGATTTCATATGGTTATAATGACTAATCATTTTTACATGTTGCTTCACCTGGCTTCTACCATTTTGCTGGTAATTTTAATGAAATTTTAATCTGCTGTTTTTCATCTTACATTTTTCTCCAGTTTGTTTATCAGGGTGATTAATATTGGCCTCAAAATGAGTTGGGAAGTACTCCCTCTTATATTTTTTGGGAGGAAGTAGTTTTTAAGGTATTTGGTCAAATTCACCATCCAGGCATATAATTGGCCAAAAATTCAAGTATTATATTGAGGTAGAAGACTCATTATGTCATCCTTGATTTTAGAGACATTTACAGCATTTCTAATTTTGTATAATATTGGCTATAAGACTTTCATATATACAACCTTTATTATATTGAGGTACAGATCCTTGCATTCTTAGTTTCTTTGGGGCTTTTATCATGAAGAGATCTTGATTTCTGTCAAAGGCTTTTTCTTCATCTAGTGATGTGATTTTTATACTTAATCTATTGTGTTTATTGATTTGCCTTCAACATGTCACCTTTACTGATATGAAACCAATATGATATTGGTATATGATCTTAATTATGCTTTATAATTTGATTTGTATTAAGATTCTTTGCATCAGGGCAGAGGGCAGATACAAAGGGAGATGAGTGGGATTGGGGTGCATGATGTGAAACTCACAAAGAATCAATAAAAAGTTAAGATATTTTGTGTAGTTTATTAAGGAAACTGCCTATAGTTTTTGTTGTGTTCATTACATATAGAATACCAGATTTGTAGAATCAGTTAAGAAATACTTTTCAATTTTTATGGAATAATTTTGACTGTTGACACAATTCAATTGTGAATCCATCTAGTCCTGAACCATTCTTTGTTGAGAGACTCTTATTCTTCTTCAATGTCACTGATTGTTGTTGAACTTTTTTTTTTTAATCCTACAGTTCAATTTTGGTAGGTCATGTGTATCTAAATGTTTATTCATTTCCTCTAGATCTCCCAATTTTTCTGCTGGGATTACCTTCCCTAGCTATAAATCACCCTGTGGTAGGGAGGCTATGGAATCCTAGTAACCCACCACAACCATCTCATTTAACAGCAAACCACACATACAAAAGGCAAGTCTGAGGCTATTCAATGTTTGTCAAGGCCGCTGCAGTAAACAACAGGTAGCCACAGAAGGCAAGTTCAACCACCGCACCTTCCACATGCTCCCCAAAACTTAAAATCTGACCCTCTGCACATCTGCCTCTCACAGTGTGGCAGGGTATCCTTAGGTTCCTTGAGATACCTTTTCTCACATCTCCAAGGTTACTCAATCTAAAATAGGTTCCCTGTCAAGGTAAAGGTACCTGGCTATAAAGCAACCTGAGATGTACAGAACAACAGAATAGATTCCTCCTCTAATGTTAGCCTGCAGTGCAGGAGTCACTGTCACACTGTATTCGATGCTTTTGGAGACTATGGGCATCTTCTAGAGAGATGTCAATCTGCCATCAACAAAGCTGCTTGACTTACCTTCTAGTTGCAGCTACATGGTCTTCTCCCAGTCAAGAAAGCCAGGGTTAGGAGTTGTAAGCTGTTTATTTTCTTCATCACATTCCAATTTTCAATGCTTTTCATCTGTCTTTACCCTTAGTCATGTTCTTTCCTGAGAATATCCTAGTTTCTCCTTTATCATTGACTCTTCTTAATAGTCATCTAGAGAAAACATTTCATTAACCACCAATCCAAAATCCCTCAACATACCATTTTAAAGAAGCTGTTAATTATTTCTATAAACATCATTTGAAAGATTGGTTATTTCCATCTTTTGTAACATTCTTTCTCATCAATTTGAAACCAGTATGACAAGACTACTAAAGGCATTTACCAGCTCAGGCTGGTAAGCTTTCACTTGGGACTAAGCAACGTAACGCTTTAATCGTATCTTCTACACTGGAAGTCTGTTTGCCTGTACCTATGTATCCCTGTCAACAGTGATGTACATTCACCTTGATCAACACAACTGCCTGCCTGTTGTTTCCACTTGCTCATGGAAAGCCGGCTTTATCAGAAAATTGTATCATAAAATAATTTTCTTCCAAGATGTGGAAGCAACAGTTCATGATGACTTGGAACTCCCAGACACTTAAGCCAGCAAATGTTACTAATTAGACATAGCTGAGAATACGACAGGTAGTAAGGCTTCTTTCCTTCCTCAAGTATAACTAATCAATGTGTTAGCAATCAGATTACTTTCCTACAAAAACTAGTAAAAACTAAAAGCACTACTTCAAAACACCAGGTCATGCAGTTTTTATTTACCATTTAATATCTTTGGGGAGTGAGGTTTTCTTTCAAATAAGTCTATTTCATGCTTAGGTAGCTAAGTACATATTGCAGAGGATCTATGAAGTTGCATATAAAATACAAAAATCTGTTACATATACATCCATTTAATGACAGATTGCACAGTTAAGTAAGTGCCAATGTCAAAATAACTCCCTGAACTTAACAAGCAGCATGAATATACTGTGACAGCAGCAGGTAGAAATGTTCCACAAGGGCAGGCAGTGCTCACACAGCACAAATGCTGATAGGGCACCAACCAGTGAGGTCACATCTTTATTCTTTTTCTTACTGTAAATACATGAGTTTAAAAAAATGGAAGAACAAAGCAATGGAGATTTGGCAGCCCTCTTATTTAAGTGGACTGTATTATAGACAAAATCCTCTAGGAACTATAAGTAGGACACAAACACTCAATGAAACAGCTACTTTTGACCACCAAAACTAGACCATTTTCATGTTTAACCCAACTGCTACAATCCAGAAATCTTTTCATGTCTCAATAAAGATATAGTTACTGAACTAATGGCAGGAATAAGTAACAAGTCCTCCAAACTAGTTATTTGTGTGGCAAACAGAAATGAATATTTAGAGAAAAATCAAGTCATTCAAGATAGCTTTGGCAAGTAAAGACTGATGATATATGCATATACAAGTACTTTTACCACGTGTTCACCAGTATCAGCATTCCACAATTAAAGAGTCCTGATTATTAACCTTTTAAAATAAACATATATATGTATACCAAGCACAAACTATATTTGAAACAGAAACATGGCATTACTAGCTGTGAAAATGATTTGGCTGGTGAACATGAAGACATTATGTTATTAGAAATGTGCTCAGGAAAGTAAAAGAAGTGTAATGCAATAGCACTAAGGTTCAGGTGTCTTAGCACCATCTCAGCACCAAGGGAAATCCCCAATGTTAAATAACAAAAAACTTTAAAAGCCTAAGATTTGATGAGGTTTCAATATTTGCTACGGACCAAGTACATTATTCTTGCCCTTACCCTCTCATCTTCAATAACATACCTGACCTGCATTGCATTCTTGCCACGGAAGCAACTTGGATACTACAAATGAAAGTCAGGTAGGTCCTTAGTGCATTCAATGCTGATCCAAAAAGACATCACATCCTGAGAGGCCACAACTTTCTAAAGAACATTTGAAGCCATTTGTTTTTCTCTAAAGCAAAAGCCATTCTTAAATGCAATTCTACAACAGATTCTTTAAAATTCACGATGTTCTACAAACTCACTACTACAGTCCAGTATCAGCAAAGATGATACTGAGTGAACAATGAACATTTTAGTTAGAACGCCTTTTTCAATCAGAAACAGTCTCAAACACAGTAGAAGTTTAGGTATTATCAGTGGCAGTATTGTTCAAACTTAAATAGCAACCTAGTTTGTGAATCAAGAAATGAATTTAGTGAGTCTGAAGAACATTTACAACAGTAAGACAAAGATGAAAGTATATCAAACTTAGCAACTAAGTATTTCTTCCTGAAATACTTAGTAAAAAGTTTTACATTCACACATACATACACCAACACTCACACACACAGACACACACACACATTCTGAATCAGATGTTAAGTTATTTTTATTGTGAGTCACAGTTAAAAATTTTTGAAATACACTGGTCTGGAGACTACCAAACTAAACATGGAGTTTCGACCAAAAATATTGAACACGAAGATTCTAGGTGTTGATGTCATCAAGGAGATAGTACTGAATATATAAATCAATCTTGTGCTCCAAAACGACAAGCTAGAGTTTTTAGCTTACCATAAACACTTAAGTTAAACCAACTCTGTACCCTTCAGCAGGTACAGGAACAGCAGAAAGCAGGAGAAAGACCCTGACAACAACAGTTTACTTGAAGTGGTATCATGCTAATTTGAGAGAGGGCACTTAAAAAACAAAAATTCTCAGTTAACTAAAAGGCTTTCCATCTATCCTTCCAAGTCATAATGTATGTATGACAGGAATAGAAAATGTTAAGTTATTGTTACAGTTTTGAGATTTTTAAGTGGTCTAAATCAAGGCAATCTAATTTTTACTGCTGTTTTAGATTTTGGAAAAAATACATGATCACAAATACAGACAGACTTGCTCGAATCTTGTTCCAATCTACTTTCATCTTCCAGTAAAAGGACATCAATCAGAATTTTATGGAACTCAAATTATTCTCGACCTATAAACATGCTGAACAACCATTTCCTAAAAATGGACCACCTATGCACAGGAAGTATATAGCATATGACTTCCAAGAATCCAGTGATAAGAGTCAGTTTAGCTCTAGTACAGGAACTGTTATATGACACCCTAAATGTACCTCACTTTGGTAATTTCTAGGATGGGGCAAGGTAAACACTGGTTTGGTAACAGGTTGAGAAAATATCCAAGACAGGATATTAAGCTTTGGGCCTGTGGCCTTGGCTCCTGGCCTCAGAAAAGAAGTTTTGTCATCCCCAATCCTATTTCTTAGGAAGTACAAGAAGTAAGATTACAAATTGAGTGATTCACAGGATCCCTTTCTACAATGAGTTTAGCATGGATGTAGGTCTAAGATTTTAATCTCTCTTGCCCTGTATTTCATTTATAATAGTTTCAATTCTTTTAGCAATGATGGTTGCCAGACATATTTACAATTACCCTTCAAAAACCCAAGTCAATAGCTCACTTAACCCACATACTTAAAGACAAGTAAAATAAAGCTAATAAGGAGCAAAATTTAAGGCTTTTTTTTTTTTATTTCAGCCACGGAATGATGCATGCTACAGAGTCACCTTTACTTTCCCCAACTTGGTTTTTTAAAAAACACCACCATTTCCAATCCCGAAAGAACATGGCACTTGTTTGTTTCTTCCCCTTCTCGTTCATTCCAGACTTTCAAGTGTTTTCTTCAATACTGAGGCTTTCTCCTGCAGCTCTGGTCTGTTGTCTGTCTCCATAGTAGCTAAAGACTCAATCAAAAGTCCTCTGCATTCTGCTGTCAAACTTTCCCACTGTTTAGCTTCTGAATGGAAAAAAAAAACAGAAAGAAAATCATTAAAGAATAAAACAAAAATCTTTTCCCATATTCCTACTCCCCAAACAACCATACAGCAGCTCTATAATTAAGAACAGTATATAACAATCACAGGTTGGTCAGGTATCTCAAACCCAATTCCTGACAACAGCCTGAAAGCAGGTCGGGGAGATCCACCCTTTCCCTAGTATGGGTGAGAGATGGGGAGATGTCAGCACAGAGGGAAGAATGAAGTATCAAGGCACAGGGGCAAGATAGTCACTTTAGCCACAAAAGAACGCTACTTAGTAAGATACATGAAAAAAGTACCTTAAAAGGTTTTATAATTGTATAGTTTAACACGTTTATTACTCATTTCTTACAAGAAAGCCTTAGAGAACTATATAAATACTAGAAATTTTTAACTCTATTTATAATGCTCTGTTATTTTCTAGTGATGTGACTTCAAGCAATTAATACAGTTGTATCAGGGTTTCATGTAGTTCAAGCTGGCCGTGAACTCCTAATCTTCCTATCTCTACCTCTCAAGGCTGGGATTACAGGCCTGTACCACCATGTCCAGCTTCTTCAAGAAAGTTGTTTAACTTCGCTTTTGTCATCTAGTAAAAAAACATTAATATTTACCGGGAAAACTGAGAATTCAACCATATGGCTAAATGCCTATGTTTTTTATTTTAACAACGATAACAAAAAAATAGATCATATGATACCTAGCATCTCTGAGTCTAAAGGACCCGTTTTGTAAAAACCTATGATAGGTGCTGGTCACTAAGCAAAAAAGAGGGAAAAGTACAAACACCAAATTCACAAGGTTGTGATGAAAACTGTTTCATCTTCTTCACTATTAACTCATGGACTAGGAATAGGAAAAAGAGAAGGAAGTAAAAAGGCAGAAGTGGCAATGGGTCTCTTTGAAACCAGTGGCAGATACATAACACTGGGAAGAAAAAAAAGAAAGTGGTTTTTCTTCTACCATTGACACAACACAAAATTTACAAGGTTTCTTAAGGAAGAAAAAAGTGAAAGAAAAGAAATAGGATTAAAAACAAGCTGTTGTCAAATATGGTTAACTCAAATGAGTCTCTGATAAAATAAACTGACTCTCTTCTTGCTGTGTTCTATTATGTACATGCAAACAAGTCTTTATCACTGCCAACCACTTCTTATGATTAACTGAGAGTATGTCAGAGTTCATGACAGAAACAAACTTTATTACTTTGTGATAATATAACTTAATAATTCATTATAAATATATAAACATAAAGAACAAATTGAAATCTTTAAAATTTAATGATTTTACTTCTCTATAGTCTACTTGTATGTCCAGATGCATTAATATGTATTTTATACCATATGTGCAAAAACAGAGATAAAAAATTTCTGAAGTGTTTCACAGGATATATCTTAAATTTATGGTGCTCTAATCAAATTTATGAAGAACTCACCTTCAAGTTTTTTAAGCAGTAATTCTATCACAGATAAAGCTTCTGTTCTCACAGATGAGTAGGTTTTATTTTCTAAGAAGAAAAATATGCAATTCAAGAGTATGTTTTAAAAACAAAACTTCCAAGATTAAATTAATGTTACAGAAGGATAAAAAGTTTAAATTCTAATGGATGCATTTTTGAAGTAAACTCTATTGAATAACTATTATCGAATACTTAAATTATGCTATATGTCCACATATACTATTTTGAGGCACTGTGGATAACCAGCCATTAATCCTAAGTGGTAATATTTAAAAGACCCATCTTAGATGTGAGAGATTAAAAAGTATTATCCCAAATGCACAATCATCCTCATGTCACACCTAAGACAAGTCTTTGATCTGCATGATCCTCCTCATTTTATTGAAGAATATCATCTAGGGACACCTTGGAACCTAAAAGGACAATTTTTTTAGCTTTCTATTCTATATCCACAAAAGCAAGCTATTTCCAAAAATGACAAATAAAACAAGTTTTGTTGGTACACACTGTTTTACAAAAGGCATCGAATTTTTCAATCAACAGAAATTAATATGCATCTAAGTCCATGGCAGGGAAGAAGTATTGGAAAAACTGATAGTGACCCATCAAAAGGACAGGGGAATCAGCTTGAAAGCATGCTAATGCATAGCTAGGACATTAACCATAGCTAGGACACCTAAACAACAAACTAATTAATAAAAATAATCAGAGGCTGGAGAGATAGGTCAGCATATAATCCTTTTGCAGAGGCCAAGAGTTCAAGTCACAGCACTCACACTGGCAGCTCACAACTGTGTGTAACTTCAGTTCTAGGAGGACCTAACACCTCTGGTCTCTGTGGACATTAGTACTCATTTGTACATATACATAATTAAAAAAGAAATCCTAAAAATAATTAAGTATAAAGCATTGAGAGGTTAGGGGGTATGAATTAATACCAGTTAACAATGTATAAATAAAGAAAAAGAGAAAAGAATCTTGCTCAAAGTAAAATGCCAGCTACTAAATGGTTAATGTGGAGAAAGGGCAAAAGTTGCAAAATTCATCATCGAAAAGCAATTGGCTCATAGAAGAATCATCGATGCATGTAAAAATCTAAAGCAAAACCTTGGAAGAGAAGTACATTTACATGGCCTTATAATATACTTTTATGGACTGTTTAATAGATGCACTTTTGAAGAGGAGATGATTTGAATAATCTTAAAGCATGTGGTAGGGGTGGTTCTGATGCTAAGGTCCCATTCCCCAATTGGTTCTTGATCTGTCAGTAAAGAAGCCATGGGCCAATTGCTGGGTGGGAAGAATAGGCGGGGCTTCTGGTCCCCCCCACCCCCCGCCACCCCAGGCAAAGAGGTAGATGCAATGAGAAGAAAGAAAGAGTTCATCATGTTTCTGAGGGAGAAAAAGACCAACCTGCCACGTGAGACCTCGGATAGTGTGGCCACAGGCCACTCCTACAAGCAGGCAGCTGGGGATGTTTAGCTGAGATTAGACGTAACTAAGCAACTAAAGTTGAGGGCAGGTGGAGAGGTGAGGAGCTAAGAATATTGATAAGGGCTTGCTTTTCCAGGTGGGAGATAAGTACAGCCCAGCAATTGGGCCAAAAAGGTAAATTAAAATTGAACAACTGTGTGTGTCTGTGTTTTCTACTCATGGATTCAAGGGAATCTGGGTAGGAGCTGGTAATGCAGCCCATTCCTGGAATTAAGGAGGGGTAGCAAAGCTACATGCAATAGCATGTTTTGAAGCACTACCGATTAGACATAAGAAATAATAAGAATGATACTATAGAGAAAAACCATAGTACCTTGATTAGATAAACAAAATTAACTTTGAAAATCAGGAAAGCTGTGGACATGGATGCCGCTTGATGTGAGAGAAACTGTTATCATTAATATCAGAATTCATAAGCTAGCTCCAAGCCTGAGGAAATGCCAGACAAACAGCAAATAAGAACTATATTATTTTTTCCAAAAAGGAGAGAAGACTTTATCCTGCAGAATCACAAGTGTAATATAAGAGAAAGAGAAGCTAAAGGAGTGTATCAGATGAAGAAACTGAAGGATATGACAACTATATTTTATATGTGATCCTTGTCTGTAGTTTTTTAGTGGGAGTAATAGGGAATACAAGATCCTACAAAAATTATGGAAGAAATTAAAGTATGAATGAGAAAAAAAATGATAAAAGAACACTGCATCCATGCAAAACTGTATAAATTTGATACCATAATGATGTTATAAAAAGGAATATATACTGAAAAATTTAGTAATAAAGGGACAAGTTGTAAGCAACACACTTTTAAATGTCTCAGGAAAAACATAAAGTATATACAGGTACTAACTAACCTATTTTAACAACTGTTTTATAAACTAGGAACTATTTCTAGTAAGTGTTTAATACTGACGTAAAGGTTCAATCTAAAATTCTACTGTAATTCTAGACAAAATACCCTTGTTGGGGGACATATGGCACATAAACAGAACAGTCAGTAGTTGTTCTGAGTCTAGATCCTGAGACTCATCTCCTTAGTTTTAAAATCAGGGTTACTTAAGCCAAGTGTGGTGACACAAGCTATAATCCTAGCTACCTGGATGACTGGAGCCGTGAATTCAGTCTCAGCCTAGGTAGCACAGAAAGACATAACTCAGAATGAAAAAGGGGTGAGGATGCAGCTCAGTGAAGAGTGCCCAGCAGGAAGGACTGTGCCTGATCACCAGTATCAAAAACAAAATAAACAGCAGCAACAATAACAACAACCACAACAACAAATCACTCAAGTTCTGGTTACTGACTCACCTAAAGAATAAGTAATTGATTTACAAGTTTCAAGAAGAATCTCAGCCAGAGCTTCAGGATCTGCATGTTCTTCTTCCAGAAGCATTAACCTGTAAGTATAAAAGTGATATATAATGCAACTCTTAACAATTTAAAACCTTCCTAGTATAACTTCGATCTGTTCATATCATCTTATCATGTTACTTCAGATACTACTAATATCTAAATTGATTACAAGAATGTGTAAATTTACATAATGGAGCATTACTCATCTGTTTAAAAAATGACATCATGAAATTTGAAGGCAAATGGATGGAACTAGAAAAATCATTCTGAATGAGGTAACCCAGATCCAGAAAAATAAATTTTGTATATACTCACTTAGAAGTAGATATTAACCATTAAGCAAATAATAACCAAGCTACAATCCATAGACCCAAAGAGGTTAGGTAAAGAGAAGAGGTAGGTCTGAGGTGATGCATGGATCTCTCTGGGAGGGGAAAATACGTTTTATAGGCAGACTGGGGGAGAATGATGGGAGCAGGCAGGGAAAGGCAAGGTGTGGGGGAGACAGAGTGGAGGAGAAGCATGGGAAGATGGCTGGAACTGGGGGATAGTTGTATGGTGATGTGGAAACCTAGTGCAGAGGAAACTTCCTGGACTCTATGAAGGCGATCCCAATAAAGACTCCTAGTAATGGGGTATACGGACTCTCAACTGGCGAATCCATCTCTTGTAGCCAGACAAGGATCTCAGGGCTGTATTCAATTGAGCTGTTGGTCAAGGGGATCCCATGGAAATCTCTAAACAACCCAATTGCTGCTAAGACAAAGGTGGCTTTCAAACTGAAAGCAGGACCCCAATGCAGAGGATGACACCCACACAACTCATTAAACATGGTGAAGATGAGCTGGTGCCTACATGAAGTCTTTACCCTGGTCTCTTTGGTGTGGGAAGGTATAATGCAATCTACCAAAACAGAAAGTCAACAACATAGCCAAGCCATAAAACCTTTGATCTAAAATCTGTCCTTCCAGTCAAAATATGCTAGGGCAATGGTGGCACAGAACTTGTAGAAGTATCCATCCAGTGTCTGATTGACTTATGGACCACTCCACAAGAAGAAACCCATACCCAACACTGCTTGTGTAACCAAGAACCAGAGACTAGATAGCCCAGAGACCTAGTGTAAAATCAAACACTACTGGTCTAAAAAGAAAACGTATCAAAGTATCAACAGTATGACTCTTAATGATATTCTGTTACACTCATAGATCAGTGCCTTATTCAGTCATCATCAGAGAAGCTTCCACCATAAGCAAATGGGAACAGATGCAGAGACCCACAGCCAGAAAGAGAGTCTAAATGGGAGGTCTCCATCAAATCCCTCCCCTCAGAACTCAGGAAATTCCTAGGAAGAAGAGGTAGAAAAATTGTTAAGAGCTAGAAGGGAGGAAGACACCAGGAGAATAAGGCCTCCTGAACCAACTTTAAGTAAGACACATAAGAGCTCATGAAGACTGAAGCAGTAAGCACAAGGCTATATGGGTCTACACCTGGTCCACTGCATATAGTTATTAGCTTAGAATTTTATGGGACTCCCTACTGTGAGAACAAGTGGGTCTCTGACTTTTGTGATGGCTCTTGGGATTCTTTTCCTCCTACTGGGTTGCTATGATGTTTTTTGTTTCATCTTATTGTATTTTATTTTGCCATGTTTGGTTGTTATCTCTTCGAAGCTTATTCTTTTCTACTAAGAGACATAAAGGGAGTGGAAAAGACGAGAGGGAAGTGGGGAGAAACTGGGAGGAGTAGAGGGAGAATAAACTATACTTAGAATATATTGTATGCAAAAATAATTTTTTTTTTAAGAAATGTGTAAAGGTTAAGAAATCCATTCAATAGGGAGATGAAAATAAAAACCTGAATCATGAAGCACATTACCCCTGGAAAAAGGCGTTCATTGACTGGAGGACACCTAGCTGCACTTTCCATGTGCTGAGTCTTAGCCGCTCACACATCAGTTTGCACAGCTCCTGACGATAACAACCTGGGCAGACAACCAAGTGAGACAGAGGAGGAAGTACATGAAGAGTAAGAGACAACAAGGGATGGAGAGAAAACAGAAGACAGCATTAAAACAAAGACAACAGTGGAGTAATGTGAGGCACAATTTAACTAAAGACATGGGATTTTCCCCAAACCGTTCACACACACACACACACACACACACACACACTCACACACACACAAACACACTCACACACACGTGCATCTATTCTAACAGTTTGCTCTTAAGACATTTTGTCCTTCACAGAACAGAGACAACTTAGCTACACTCTGCTTCCATTGTAAATTCCCTTAATAAAACCAAAAGGTCCAGAATCCTTAAGCACCCCTTAAGTATTCTGCCAATTGTGGGTTTACCATAGACAGTAGTCTTTTATCATTAACTAGTATCAACCACAATTGTCACCATCATTATACAATTAATATTATACTGATAAGAGTATAAGCTCAACAAAAATAAAAACAAAAATATAGAAGTTGATTTTAAATGCTTAGAATAGGGCTTTCCAGACTTCTGATATTTCAATATGTTGAGCTACACTCATAACTACCCTGGTGACACTCGGCCAATGGGCCGTAAATTGAACACCTACTATAAAATTTAATAAGGTTTAAATGTAAAACATGAGAGGAAGGGGTAAAAATTCTACCCTGAGATTGCTTCATTAACAGCTTGTAATTTGTTTTTCTAATTTAAAAAGATAAAAACCAGAAATTACAGCTGATACTGTGAAATGTTAGAAGCTAGTATGCAACACTGGCATTCTTAGAGAAAATGTTTGGTTCTCTACTCAGTAACTGGTAAACAAATGTATATCTCCTATGTCTTTGCATGTGATGTTATCTTTCTTATGAATTTCCTATTTTAACTTTTTCTGGCTATTAAGCAAGAGTTACTCATGCTAATGGTGTCAAGCAATCCAACTTCTACTACAGTCCATAATACCACTCACAAATTGATAGCTTCTTTTGAAAAATTCTTCGTATGTTAAACAAAGAATGATAGGCTCAAAGAAAATGTTATGCCTGGTTTTACAAGTAATTATGCAAAGACTGTAAATTGGGACAGAGTGTCTTCCCAGGACAAGACAAACTTGAATAGCATCTGTTCAAACTTAATGACCTTGTCAATAGGTTGTAACTACAACTTGAACTAATAATCATGGCTTACTATTTAATCTTTTGTAAATTTATGTGTAATTCTGAAAATCTCTGTCATAAGTTTCTCAATAAAACAGCTATTATTTGCTTACTGAAGATATGATGGCAAGGCTGGTGATTTTGAGAGGAAGGATTTAGAGGGGTGATTGTTGAATTTGTCAGAGGATATCTATGGACACAAGGAAAAGTAACAAAACTCTTTTTATAGTCAAACTATCTACATCAAGTACTTCATGGTTGTTATGCATTCAACTGTATTCCCCTAACATTATTGTACTGTACTAGAAGGTACAATATTTAAAAGAATCATATGGGTGGATCCTAATCCAATCCGCTTAAAAAAAAAAATCAGGTAACAGCAACCCAGAGGAAGGCCATGTGAAGACAGGAAAGTCAACCATTCAGATGCTTAAGAGAGAAATCTCAGAAGAAAGCAACCCTACCAACAACTTGATCTTGAACTTCTACTCACCAGAATTCGGAGCTGGGAGGGGGGGATATTTTATTATTTAAGCTATTCGGTTTGTGATACTTCTGTTTTAAAGATTTATTTTTATCTTATTTGTGTATGAGTGTTTTGTCTGCATGTGTATCTGTGCAGCACATGGGTGTCCAGTGCCCTTGGATGCCCTGAGACAGGAGACTCAGACAGCTGTGAGCTGATATATGGGTACTGGGACTCAAACTCATAGGTTCTCTGGAAGAGACACCAATGAGTATGCTTAAATGTTAAGCTATCTTTCCAGCCCCTGTGACACTTTCTTATACTGGCCCTAATAATACAGTGATCCATGTACTTATTTGCTGATAAAAGAGTAAAATAGATATAGAAAAATGCTCACTATTAATATTCAGACTATATAAGAAATACTACCATGCCACACACACAAAAAAACTGTGTTCTTACTAAGTGACTTCTGGTTACAGCACTTCTACAAATTTGTATTCCAGTGCTTACGTTGGGTATCTGGGTTCCTGGGCCATGCTTTGCCCAGGCTCTCGAAGGCGCCCAGCAGAGACTCCAGTTGCAGCTCTCTTTCCTTCTCATTTTCATCTTCAGCTTTGGTGGTACGGACTCCCATGCTTTCAAGTGAGTTCTAGGATATATCAGAGGAAAGGAGAAGAAAGGAGAAGAGAGGGAAGGGGAGGGGAGAGGAGGGCAGGGGAGGAGAAAGAGAGGAGAAGGGAAGGAGAGGAGGAGGGGAGGAAAAGGGGAAGAGGGGAAGGAGAGGGGAGAGAAGAGGAGGGAGAGGAAGGAGGGTAAGGAGGGAGGGGGAGAGTAGAAGAGGGAGAGGAAGGAGGGAAGAGAGAAGGGAGGAGAAGGGAGGGAAGAGAAGGGAATTCTAATATTTCCTTCTTCAAAGTTACAGTTATACTATTAAAACAGAGTGCAGAACAGGAGACACTGACCAAGAACTAAATTCTGAGTTCTCCATTTAAAATTATATGTATCTAATAAGCTTGAAAAATACTTTTAAACAATTTGTATATGAAACTGGAAAAAACTACTATATATGTAGTATGTTATGAGTATAACCTAAAAAGACCTACATTTGGATCAAGAGAATTAAATAAAGATGGAAAGAACTTGGCAATGTTTCAAACACCAACTCTTGATAAACTGGTAAAAAGGCCAGAAGTAATTCGATCAGCCAATATAATCCACTTAAATAAGTCTCCAAGACCTACACATTACCAGAGAAATAACCAAGACAGCCTTATTACTGAAAGAAAACAAATATATGAAGAGAAGCAACACAAGACATTAGAATATTTTAAAACATTTCATGCTTTAAAAATAAGTAGGCATAGTGGCATATGCCTTTAATCCCAGCATTTGGGATGCAGAGGCAGATAGATTTCTGTGAGTTTGAGGCCAGCCTGGTCTACACAGTTAACATGGTGGTTCCAGAACAGCCAGCACTACAATAAAAGAAAGCCAGTCTCAGAAAACCACAACAAATAAACAAAGAGACCAATGACATCCCTCTTTCCTTATGATGCCTACTTTATTTATTTATTTTTTTTTAAAAAAAAGACTACATTGGTTTCCAAATTAAGCTGGTCATTTTTCTAACCAAAAATTACCCCAGGACAAGGCAGAGGTGAACGATATAACACATAGTATTCCTTGTTTTCATACTAAATAACTACTTGGCATATGCACAAGCTAGCAAGGTAAAGTTTACTATGGTAGATGTTGCTCACTACATAGGTACACTCACCCTCCTCCAACAGGTGGAAACTCAAATGACCACATGAAAAGTCACCTTTCCTAGCCTCATCTGCTGCCAACTCGGGCTATATGATTAAGTGATAGCCAGTAGAACATGAATCAAAATGATGTTTCCATTTCCAGAACTTTCCTTGACAAAATTATGAGCTCACTATGACCCTAACTTCATCTACTTTGTTATCTGCCTAGGACTCAGATAAACCACAGACCATGAGAATAATGCGTAAGAAATAGGATCCCTGAAGATTTTTTTTTTCCATCTATCAAGTAAGAGACAAACTTCTATCTTGTTTGAGGCCATTAATATTTTGGGATTTTCTGCTATTTTACAGTTAAACTTGTCCTAATAAAAACATATATATAGCCAGGACAGATAAAAAGCTGAATGATGACATAGGTAGCCATTACCTTCTTGATGAGGGGTATGACAATGTCAGAAAACTCCCGGAATCTGTCTTCTTTGGTGGCTTTCAAAACATCAGCTGCACAGTTGATTGCAACAATCTTATATTTGAGATTCTCTTTGCAACACTCCTTCAAGACAGCCTGAAGAATTTCATTTGTGGTGGGTTGATTGGGCACAGATTTTTCCAACTCTGTACTATAGGATTCACACAAAAACATCAGAATAGTTAAGAAAAGCTACAGCTTTAAGCTTCATATTAGGAAATGATATGTTCATTAAAAGAACATTTACCTGCAAGCTGTCACTACACAGGCAATGGCTTTCAATAGTTCTTCCTGATAAGTTAAAGATGAAGAAATACGATTAAACCCACGTTACATTCTCTACACTATGTCTACCCCTCCCATGAGTATTTTATGACCATAACAACAAAACTAACATTTATCTCACCTTTAATGCACTAAGCACATGAATCTTTAAATCATAAAGGCCCAAGAGCTAGCAACCAAGATTACAGGCTATTCAGTACTTATGTCCATAATACTGTAGTGGCCAATAGTGGCCTTTACGAAACAGAGTACATACTGCCCAATTTCATGTTCCACACAGAATGTTCACTACGCATACTTCTCTATAGTCCTTGAGAGTTCCCAACTCTTAAGCCTCAACAATGAGCATCTTTGATGTCAGGATTAGAAGCAGTTCAGTGCACTCAGTTTCTGAATCGTATGTATGACCAGTTTGCCTCTACTGTAGGTCAGTGCACATAAAATGGTGACCAGTTTAAGAAGTGACTTGTAAAGCTGAATATGTAAAAATATATCAATCTCCAGTATTACTATGCTTTATTCAAGAACATATGGGCATACTTTGATATAAAATGTTGCAGATAATCAGGCAAAGTCTTCTACTAGCTAGAAAACCTAGCTGCAAAAATAATCCAAAATCACATAAAATCAAATTCCTATTTTACAAGAAGATCCAGTCCCAATTCTTTAGCATGAATTCCTTTACCTTTCCTGCCCACGTTCTCCCAGCCAGGCCTTGCACCAATGCACTTAGTATCATCCCCAGATAAGGTGGTACAAGAGAGCTTGTTTGTTTTGCAATTGATGCCATAGCAATTGCACCCTGGGCTTTCATTTTCCAAGATTGTGACTGTAAAGCCTTCTGGGTAATAGTAATCAATTCCTGCAGGTACAATCGAATACCTCCAAAGGAGCCTACATTTAAAAGAAGAAGAAAGAAAAGTTGTAATACCTCTTAAGTGACAAGAAATATTTTAAAAGATAAATTTTTAAATGTAAGTCAGTGTTAGTCATTTAAAGCAGTGACTGTCAACTGATAAAACATACCATGTGCTAATAGGAGAGACAGTGGGTACTATGGCTTCTTTCTGTAACAGTAGGAATTCATGACCTTGGACATACTGCCAGGAATGTTACTTTAATCGTCACAATGAGTATCAAGGTTAGAAATACAACTCTACAATGACACCCTAAGACAACATAACATCCCAGTTACACTCACCTAACCTACAGAACATTCTCCTCTGCTTAGACACTTTATAGTCTCTCACACAGACAGTAAGTAACAAGTCAAAGAAAAGAGCTCTGAGTGGCACTTTACAAAGCTAGAAATTAGCATGTCCTCAAAATGTGACATAGATTGCTCAAGTTCTTGGGAGAGTCACGATCAGACATGAGTCAAATTTCAGCTGTGTTCTTAGGAAACATGTTTACTTTGCATCCACCATTTACTAACCAGGTACATTTTCCTGCCACACTTCAGTCCACATATTACACTCTTCTTTTTCAGATTTCTCCTCATCAGCAATTTCATGCATGCCTAGAAATGCTAAGGGCAGAACTTCCTTAGCATGGTTCTTCAACACATCAGGGCTGTATCTTCCAATTGCATGAACTGTCAAAGCACAAGAGGTCTTATAGACAGGTTCTAAAGAAAAGAAACCAAAAGTTTGTTACCATTTAACTGTTTTTTCAGGATAAATGATTTAAATAAAACAATTTAAAATGTTTCCACCAAAACAATATACAAATTATTTGGCTAGAATGATTAAGAAAAAAAAAGTACCTTCTTTCTCCATGTACCAGCCATTGAGCTTGTGTAGCAGTTTTTCAGTGCTGCTATCCCGTGAAGTCTGAAAAACAAACATTTCCCAGTCATTTCTTTATAATTACCAGAGTTTTGCTTAACTGAATAAGAAAGTCAACTCACCCGAACTAAATGGCCCATGGCAAATGCACAGGATTTCTGAATTACACTGTTCCGATCTGTCAAACCACTAAGCAAAGCACTCATAAGTTTACCTAGAGAAATAATAAAAACGGTCAATTGTGTGGCTGGCCAAATATTGTGTTATGTTCCCAGGACTAAAAGCCTATAACCCTGAAATTAATCAGGCTTACTGCATAGTCGTTTAGGTCTTTTAAATATTATTTGTACTACCTACTTTCTTTATTTCATTTGATTCAAAAATTAAAAATTAACTTCTGTCCAGAATATTGTGAAAAAAGTACAAAAATGAGAGGTAGATACAGAATCCCACCTAGAAGCCTATCTAGAAGAGGAATTAAAAGAAAGCACTCATGTAAAATTAGCTATGAACAATTAAAAAGTTCTGCAGAATGAAAGGTACTTTTTTACATCTTTATGTCACTGACAAACTTACCTCTGCAACAATAAAAGTTTGCTTACAAAATGATTGGGTCAGAGATTTAAGTAGAAGCAAAGCATACGAATATGACCCAGTAATTTTCCTTTTAAAACTCTGAACTACTCAGGCAGCGGTGGTGCATGCCTTTAATGACAGCATTCAGAAGGCAAAGGCAAACAGATCTCTGAGATCAAGGCTAGTCTGGTCTACAGAGAGAGTTCCAGGGCAGCTAGAGCTACACAGAGAAACCAAGTCTCAAAAAACAAAACAAAAATAAAATGAAACAACAACAACAACAACAAAAACCCTCTGAAATAAACACAGTCATGAGACAGTACCCCCACACATATGAAAAACTCACCTGAGTAAGGTGTCAGGTCCTGGGGACACTGAGTAGTTAAAGACACGATGACACTGGCACAGCCTCCCTTTAAGGTCACAAAAACAAAGGTCTAAGTTTGATGTCTCTATGCACTATCAAACTACTTCTTTTAGGCATCAATAATTTAAAGATAAAACATATGAAGTCTAATAGCCCTTCTGGGATTTAATATAGAAAAAGAAAAATATTTTAAACTTATTATCCAGAGATTATTATTTAGGAGTAAGAACTTAAGAAACTGAGTAAGAAAGAAAACAAGTATAACTGTCAGAAATAACACGTGTTATCACAAACAACTGCATTAACAACTCCATGCCTAGAGATTCCTAAGAAAATAGTTTTTATGTGTACAAAGAGAAAAATGGTGCTTTATTTAAAAGCTCTTTAAAATCTGAAAACTCAGATGTTGCTTATTTGACTGAAAAAAATGATGTACTGCTATAAACAGCGCACCATATACCCTTCAGGGGTATATGAGAACATAAAGCAGAAGATATGTGTGTGAAAACACACAGAAGGGAAACACTCAAAAACAAATAGCCATTTTCTCTGCATGGTAAAACTACTGATATTTTTAACTTTCTCTTGATTTATATATGTTAATTAGAATTGAAGTATTAATTTTTCATATGAAGAAATGAGCTATCTCTTCTTCTAAAATGAGACGAAGCTGGGTCCCACGACACACAATCCCAGCACTGCAATGCAAGAAGACAGTGTGGGGACACCATGAGATTTGGTCTAAAACTACAACACAAACATTTTTAACAGTAGGAAAAAATTAAGCAGATGAAGGAAGTATCTTATCTTTTAAGATTATCAAGCAAAAAAATGATATTTTTCTATCCAAACATCTATTAAACCTTACATAAAAACTTCTAATTACTGTCTAAAATGATTAATACTTTAACAGGTAAGTAAGCTTCTCCATTAACTGGCAATAACAGGAAATTTAAGAGCACTTACATGGTAACCATAAAAGACTCTACTAAAAATACCAAGACAAGCAGAGTATGGTAACATGTAAGCATGACAGGATACAACATGATACTTGTAATCCCTGCACTAGGAAATATAGGCAGAAATACCAAAAGTTCACAGTCATCCTCATTGTATAGGAAGTCTGAGACTACACTAAGCGATAAGAAACCTTACCTCAAAAAACAAAAAAAATACATACATACATACATACTTTCAAATCAGTTACACATTTTAAGTTAATCATGTAATCATAGAAACAAAATATTTAACATGCAATGTGTTTTACAAAAACATTAACTTTTAAACATGATGGTCAGTTTTTTGTTGTTAAGGTTTAAAAAATTATCACAAACACCTATTTGCTCTTATAAAAATACATTTCTATGGACTGGGAAGATGGCTCAGTAGGTGAAGTACCTACTAAGCATAAGGACTTGGGATCACATTAGCATCCTCATAAAAATCTGGGTTCATATATCTGTAATCTTAATAACTGTGGGGGCAGGGAAAGCTAGATCCACTGAGCTTGCTGGCAGCCAGCCTAGGCAATCAGTGAGCACCTGGTTCAGTGATAGAATCTTTCTCAAAAGAATGTGGAAAGCAATAGTGGAAGATACTCAAAAGGTAAAAATAAAATAAAGATACCTTTGGGCTCCACACACATGTGCATAAACACAAACACCAACATACACCCCCCACCCACCCACTCACCCACCCACACATACAAATCTTACCTTAGTCCCAAGACCAACACCACTTCTTATCAGCTCACATAACCTAGGAACTAGCTCACCTAGCACCGAAACATCAAGATATTGCAGGCACTTTGAGAAAAGAATAAATATAAAAGTAAGCCTAAGCAGTAATTAAGTCAGTACCATATCTTTATTTAAAAACTATCTACGTCAAAATATGTACCTACTAGTTTTAATAGAAAGTTGAAAATGACTGGTTTGATTTTGCTCTGGAAAAATTAAACTACTATAGAAAATTCACTCACTAATGGTTCAACATTAAAAATAGAAAAACAAAATAATGAAAAGCATTAATTTACTAAGAAGAAATAAATGATTACCCCTCTTTCAATCCCCCTCTATCAATCTATATTGAATGTAAAATGCCTAGATTAAAACTGATCTTCCATACTGTGTCTATCCTACTAGACCCCAAATAAAGTCAGTTTCTTAGATGATTTTACCATAGTTTGTTTTATTTTTTAAAATACAAGCACGTACTTCATCATTTATGAATATTTTCAAATGACATTTGCTAAATACTCCTCTCATTTGCCCCAATAATAAAACTAAAACACAAGATTCTTAGACAGAATATTGGCAGCAGTCCCTAGTAGACACTAAAACCTGATTTTTGTCCCATTTGTGATCTGCTTAACAAACAATTTCTGGTAGCTTGTAAGCTCTTAATAATCACTACAGGAAATGTCCAGAAGGTGATTCTGCCAAGACTCTCAGAACCTCAAAGTGCCATGAACTCTTCACTACACTTTTTCAACATCTGAAGCACATCACTATCGCTCAGCTCCTGTCACCCACCTTCTGTACTGTCTATTTTATTAAAATATCTCTGATCTTACACCTTTGCGATATTTAATAAAGAAATTTCTCAAGCAGAGGTAGGCAAAAGAGCAATGATAATAATAATAGTAAAAATAATAATAAAATAAATAACACATTGCTGAGCCTGTCTAAAATAAGACCAAAAATAAATAGATACAAGTTATAGACAGATCTCTAATATGTTGTTTTCCATGTAACAAAAAATTTGACAAATTCTGCTATTCAGAAAATTTACTTTTACTAATAGTTAAGAAAAATGTCTATAAATATGCAAAATTTACATATGCTAGTTAAAGTTCAGTATTTTATCAATACATCCCCTTAGGTTTGTCTCATGTTATATAGCATGAAGTCTTTTGGAGAACTGTACTCAAAAAGAAGCAAATGAGCTTTTCAGTTGTTTTTGGAAACTCACCATGTTGATTGTCTCCATCATGGGAGAGGATTTGGCAGCACTGAGTCGAGCACTGTCCATTGCATCCTGAAGAGCAGAATATTCAAGATATTCAGGATATTCAACTAATTATGAATTACCCATAGAAACACTAATTAAAGGGTCTGATTTCCAAACTAAAGGCTTTTAGGTAAACAATCAATATGGAAATCAGATGAGAGTCTAATTCTAATTTCTTCTGACCTTACTTAACAATTTAACTATAAAGTTAACATATCCCTAAAGGTCTGAAATTCAGACAACAGTTAAAAATAAATAAAATATGAGGGTTTGTAGGGCACCTCACTAGTAGATTAGCATGAACAACGCCCTAGGATCAATCCCATCTATTACAAGAAATTAAGTAACGATGTATTTATTAATAAAGATACTACGGCTCTAAGCAAGTCATTCAGCCTTCTTGAGTCTCAGGTTCTCTAGTCACTTAAAAAGAGAATACACTGAATTTCTACATAATGTTTAAAACACTGTCTAAAAACCACCAAAATAGTGCATGTGTTTGTATACTCCATTTATTTCTTTAAGTTTATTATGTGGATTCATATTTACAATGATAATTCAATCAAAATTACACTGGAAGAAAGGTTATTACTTTCCAGAGAGTAAGGCATGAAAAAGTGATTTGCTGAGGTTTGCAAAGAGATAGATAGAATTTATGTTCCCTAATTTTTTAATACTAGTAAACATTTTTTAGCAGGTGGCAAATCTAGTGAAACAGGAAAGAATGCCCAATAAAGAAGAAACAACAATATGAAAGGCAAATGAAAACAGTTATCTATAAGAGTAGATTATGCAAATTAACAAACAGTGAACTGAGAGAACACACTGACATTACATATTACATAGGCCTAATCATCCCAATAAACAAATATAAGTATAAAAAAGAACTAGGTATAGAATACAAACAAAATTCAGAGAAATATATAAATGGCTAACAGGAGTTATAGTAGGCATGTGCAAATGACTGTGCATGCTCACAAAAGCCAAAGTTATAGAAAGATATAAAATGCCTAACGTGAGTGCTAAGAATCGAACTCCAGTCCTTTATAAGAGTATCTAATTGCTATGACATCGTTTTAGATCCAAAAGTTAGGGATTTAGCTCAGTGGATACAGTGTTCCAAGCAAAAGATCTGGATTTGGGCAGGTGGGAGGAGATGAGCATGCTGGAGCTAAGGGAGTATAAAAAGATAATGGACAATATATGTAAAAGAAACATTCAAAATATAATACTACAGCTCTTACTTATAAAACTGATGTTATTCAATTATATCCAATTAAATGCAATTATATTCAATTATTATTATCAAAGATATAGAGAAAAATAGATGGTTTATAACCTTTAATCTTATAAAACTTCCCCACAAAACGTAATCACTTGACTTTAATATGAATGAACTTAAAAAAATAAAACATATAGACTTTATGCTCCAGTAAATTAAAAATGCAGTTACAGAACAATAATCAAAATCTAATAACAATACTCATAAAACTAGTCTAATAAAATAGAAACAGAAGGACCACTACATAATTCATTCTATGAGGCCATAGTTACTCTGATACCTAAACCACACAAAGACTCAATAAAGAAGAGATCTTCAGACTAATTTCACTTATGAACAGTGATGCAAAACTACTCAATAAAATTGTCATAAACCGAATCAAAAAACATATCAAAAACATCATTCATCACAATCAAGTAGGTTTCATCCCAGGGATGAAGGGATGGTTCAAATATGAAAATCCATCAGCAATCCACTACATAAACAAAGTCAAAGAAAAAAATCACATGATCATCTCATTAGATGCTGAAAAGCCTGACAAAATCCAAACCCCCTTCATGTTAACTCTGGGAGAGATGAGGAATTCAAGGCACATACCAAAACATAATAAAAGAAGTATACAGCAAACCAACAGCCAACATCAAATTAAATGGAGAGAAACTTGAAGCAATCCCACTAAAATCAAGGACAAGATAATCTATTAAATATAGTACTCAAAGTTCTGGCTAGAGCAATTAGAAAACAAATGGAGATCAAGGGAACATAAATTGGAAAGAAAGAAGTCAAAGTATCACTATTTGCAGATAATACACCTAGTATACATAAGCTACCCCCAAAACTCTACCAGAGAACTCCTACAACTGATGAACACCTTCAGTAAAGTGGCTGAATATAAAATTACCACAAAGAAATGATAATCAGTCTGAGAAAGAAATTAGGAAAACAACATCCTTCACAGTAGTTACAAATTATATAAAATATCTTGGTGTGACTCTAACCAAGGAAGTGAAAAATATGGTAAGAATTTCAAGCCCCTGAAGAAAAATCGAAGACCTCAGAAGATGGAAAGATCTCCCATGCTCATCGATCAGCAGAATTAACATAGTGAAAATGCCCATTCTTACCAAAAGCAATCTACAGATTCAATGCAATTCCCATCAAAATTCTGACACAATTCTTCACAGACATGGAAAGAGCAATTCTCAACTTCATATGGAAAAACAAAAATCCAGGATATCCAAAACAATTCTCAAAAATTCAAAACAACTTCTAAGGGAATCATCATCCCTGACCTCAAGCTGTACTACAGAAAAACAGTGATTAATAACTACATGGTATTGGTATAGACACAGATAGGTTGATCAATGGAATAGAATCAAAGATCCAGAAATAAACCCACACACCTATGGTCACTTGATCTTTGACAAAGAAGCCAAAACCATACAGTGGAAAAAAGAAAGCATCTTCAACAAATGGTGCTGGTCTAACTAGCAGTCTTCATGTAGAAGAATGCAAATTGATCCATATTTATTACCCTGCACAAAGCTCAAGTCCAAGTGGATCAAGGACCTCTACACAAAGACAAATACACTGAATCTAACAGAAGACAAAGTGGGAAATAGCCTTGAACATATTGGCACAGGGAAAAATCTCCTCAACAGAACACCAATGGTTCAAGTTCTAAGATCAACAATTGATAAATGGGACCACTTGAAACTGAAAAGCTTCTGTAAGGAAAAGGTTAATAAGACAAAATGGCAACCAACAGATTTTGAAAAGATCCTCAAGTCTGATTTTGTTTTTAAATTGGATATTTGGGGGTTTTGTGACTTTTGAATATGAAATAATTTTTAAAAGCCCCCAGGAATCTGTTCATAGAGACCTCTAAGGGATTACTTTTCACCCTTCCAGGTTGATTTAATTTTTCCTTAATAAATGAGTCATATACAACCTTTGAAAAATAACTGATCAAAGACAAAGCAGAGTAACTTTAGGCCTAAGTCTATATATAAATTTTTACTTAGATATTTTGTAGATGGTAAGGTATATATACAGCCATAAAAAGTATAAAAATAATTTTAGAGTGTTAAAATTATGTTAATAAGTTGTCAATTTTTATTTGATTAACAAAAGTATACATGAGCTGGACAAAACCTTCCCCCTCTAAAAAAAAATCTAAAAACCAAATAAAGAAAATCCACTGCATAGAGTGTTTATCTATAGGCACTGGACAGCTCTTAACAGTGATCATACCTCAGCAGTACTTACCAATACATGTCTGCTATCAACTTACCTTTTCTTGTTCTGTAGCCCGGAGACTCAAATAATTGAGAACTTGAGGCTCCAACACACTTAAGGACTCTAGGAGTGCTGGTATGAGTTTGGGTGCGTGTGGTTTCAACATGGCTCCTGCACTTTTGCTGATCTTCACAAGAGTGTTAATGCTAGACACACAGAAAACATCATCTGATCCCTTTACCACAAATAAGAAGGCCTACAATCTAACCATGAGGACGTTTTGCACTTGTATTCAGGCATATATTCATGGATCAAAGCCTAATCCTGGCAACTGGAAAGTGGAGTTTCTGATTATGACTGAACTCAGGGTCTCTCATCTCTTGGCACTTAAAAAAATTACAGATTTGTCTGGCAATGTTTTGTTTGAAACAGAGTTTCTCTGAATAGCCCATCCTGAAACTTGCTCTGTAGACCAGACTAGCTTCAAACTCATAGAGATCGGGCTTTCTCTGCCTCTCAAGAGCTGGGATTAAAGGCATGCACTATCAAGGTCCAGCAATTACAGATATTTTTAAGCAAGCATATAGAGGGGTGAAAAAAAATGATAATTTGTTGGAATCCAAATTCAGAGTTCAAAGTCTATCCATCACCATCTTCAAACTAATTTACTTTCCTTCCTTCCTTCCTTCCTTTCTTCCTTGCTAACCTGGAACCTGCTATCTACACCAGGCTGGTTTTGAACTTGCAGATATCTGATGGCCTCTATGTAAGAGCAGTAGAATTAAAGGCATGTGCCCTGACACACAGCTTGATTCTTGAAACTTTTAACAGTCCTGATCTTTCTCTTGAGTTCTCATTTAACCACACTGACTCTATTCCAGTTGTGTTATTTAACATATCCTCTATATGTGTATTTAAACTAAACCAAGTGAAGGTTCAATTATTTTAAAAATATGGCTTATGCCAGTAATGCCAGCATTCTGATGTATGAGGCCTGAGGATCACTAGTTTGAGGCCAGGGTGGGCTACTATATAGCAAATATGGGTGACTTTGCCTCTGAAACCATGCAAGACTCTTTCATAAGCAATACTGAATATATCCTATCCCAATGCACATCCTGTTGTGTCATTTTATCCTATTAGTCTCGTGACTGGGCTCAGGTTTGGAAAGCCTGAACCATCATTAAGTTCTACATTTGCCTTTTAGCCAGTAGATTTAGAAGCCAAAACCATCACCATATAGACTAGCTTATCAAGGACAGTTGATTATACTAAACAAGTAAGCCCCTGAAGACATGAGGCATAACAGGAAGCTGTGCACTTACTAAGGAAAGGGGCCAATAGAATATGGAAATCAGAATGTTAGTCAAATCAAGGTCCCCGTGAAATAGAACTATAAAATACTCTGGCCCACATCTTTTCATAAATCCTTAAGTTACCTCAATGGATTCGCCTCAGTCCATTTTTCATATTTTTAGGAATCTAACATTCAAGAAAACACATTTTCTATAGACTGGCTAGAAACTAAGTAATTCCAGTACATTCACTTCAACCAAACCACACCTGAGGGCTCGGACTTCCGTCACAGGACTCATCATTCCTTTGTCCAGAAGGCAGGGCAGGAGGACAGCAATGGTTCTCTGGCCAGCTGCTCCTTTGGCAGGGTCACACATTTTCACACAAACCTCACATACAAAGAGCAGGGACATTAGTGAAGCTGGCCTCACAACTATTAAAGCATTTCTCTGACAAAGTGTGTGTGTGTGTGTTTTTTTTTTTATGTCACTATCAGGAATAAAAAATGAATCTACTTTCTATGCCACTATGGGGGTTATAGAGAGAGGAACGACCAGTACTGAGTCCAAGAGGACTGCTATATCGAGACAGAAAATCTGATAATATATTCTATTCTTTAATTTTGACTTTCTAATTTGTATAATGATAAACAAAGGAGCTAAAAATATGATGAAAAGTGTTTAAGAAAGCACTTTTTAAAAATACTCTGTTTATATAACCATTTTCACCACTACAGATTGCAGAACAATATTCTGGTAAAGAACACAAACCTAGACATGAAAGGCACCAGGATTTAAAACATACTTTTACTACTCAGTAATGTGATTGATGACAAAGCTTAAGCAATTAGAGTGTAAATTACAAAATTAAGTCTAAGGGGCAGACTATTTAGCTTCAAAAAGCTTGCCAACCCCATAATTTGGGAAAGATATAAAAATCAAGACATATATTGCTTTATTTAAGTAAGTCATCTGTTCTTCAGGGTCAAAGCAAAGGTACACATCATATAAAGACCTGCAGATGCTCACCATTTAAAGAATCAAAAGTTAAAGGTGCTCAAGATATACTACACACAGACACTAAACATAGTATAATGAAACCCACTTTCTTATTCACTGTTAAGAGCAGTAAACTATACAAAAAGCCAATTACAAGGCAACACCATTTCATATGACCCCCCCCCCCCCAAAAAAAGTACGGTCAAGTTTATGGTGGGCCCTACCCTACTATATCTCACTGTGAGTTGAGTATTCTCACCTTGCTCAGAGTTTTCAGAGCTAGTTCTGCTGCCTTCCGGACAGACTCCTAAAAAAAAAATGAAAAAAGCCTGCCATTATACATATTAGACAGCACTCATGCACTCATTCTTATCCACTCTAATTAGATCCTAATACAAAATAGCAAAACATAATTTTCAATAACAGGTTTAAATATATGTTGCTCTGGTAGACTCTTTGCTCATTAAAGAACTAGTATATCTGATCTATTTTTGACCATGTAAAAATATAGCTATTAACTATAACAGTCAAAAAATAAAATGTACTATAAAAATAAATACATAAAAATCTGTGAAGATTCTAAAAGAATTAAAATTTCCTAATGAATAAAGCAACAAGAAAGACAATCTAGTAATCTAAATAATTTTAAGAATGTCAAAATAGTTTCAAATTTAGATAGTCCAACTTTAGATCCTTTAGTATAGATCCAACTTAAGTTAGATCTTGAGTATCCTCAAAAGGTTTACATGCTAATGGCTGGGTCCCATGAAAGGCACTACTAGAATCTTAGCAATAGGGGAAGAAAGTCTAGATCACTGAGAGCAAGCCTTTGAAGGGGATAATGAGGCCTCAGATTCTTCCTCCTTCTTTTTGCTCTTTATCCCAAGTAAATGTTTTCTTTTCTCTGACCCTGATAGACTGCCTCAGTCATAGGCCCAAACAATGAAGTGCATCTATGACAAAATAACAACCTCCAAAATAGGTAAGATAAACCACTTCCCTTTCTAAATAATCACCCTAAACACTTTTATAGTGATCTGAAAGAAGTGAAATAACCTAGAAAAACTGAGATATTCTTGCATTAATCACAGTATTTGGAAATGAATGCCTAAACTTTGAAACTTTAGTCATTATGAATTACTTCAAAATTGGGGATTTGCTCCTAATCCAACAGCATCATGAAATTTCTATTGAAAAAGGCAGGCTGTAGCCAACACTTTAAGTCAGTTCGGTTTAGACCTAAATAAAGACACCCAAACTTTTCCTTTTTTTTTTATTGGATATTTTATTTATTTACATTTCGGATCCCATCTCCTTTCCCCATCTCCCCTCCATAGAAAAACCCTATTCCATCTCCCCTTCTCCTTCTTGCTTTTATACCATTTTAATGACATGCAAGTATTAAGGTCAGTTCTAGGTTAAGGAACTAGCGGTTAAGAGCACTGACTGCTCTGCCAGAGGTCCTGAGTTCAATTCTCAGCAACCACATGGTGGCTCAGAACCATCTGTAATGGGATCCAATGCGCTTTTCTAGTGTGTGTCTGAAGACAGCTGCAGTGTACTTATATAAATAAAAAATAAATAGATCTTTGATACCCAAACTTTTAACTTTACATATACATCAAAGCTGAAATTTAGAGATAAAACAGTTTCCTAAAATTGTCTAGCTAGGGAATTTTGAAACACATACATTTTAAAAAGCTATAGTATATTTTAATGATACCAATTTATATACATGTAGATTTATTTCTAAAATACCTTAATATCATCTTGTACTCTAAAAAGTGTTTCCCACATTTCTGGAAGTTTGTCAATGACGTCATCTAAAGGTCTTCCTCTCAATAAATCATTCAGAGCTAAACAGCTGAAAATAAAAACTTGATTTCAAATATGTGATCAGCGAGTCCAATATTTTACTATCAAACAGTCATACTGAACAATAATAGACTCCTACCTGTATTTCTAGTCCTAATCTCTCACCCTAAGACAATCATGATTATTCTAGTATTACCTCAAATATATCTATCACATGTGACACAAATCACTAAGTGACAATTCCTACAACTATAATTCAATCCCTTTAAGTGATACACCAATACATCACTCTTAGCTATGTGCTTTCAATGTCTGGCATATCACCAAGTACATAACAAGCATAGAATGTGCACAAGCTGCATATATAAATACATTCTACAACATAAAGCCATGAAAATATACAACTTGATATCTACCAATTTAACAAATCATCCACAAATTTTTAACTTCATACTTATATAAACTAATTTAAGAAAACCAAGAAGAGTTTAATAGTTAAAGAACTCAACTAAAAATATGGTTTTAACTTAATTTCTGTTACACCAAATTAAAAAAAAAAACCTCAGAAATTTGAAGGGGCATTTTCCAGCTCTGTCTGGCTAATCAGTTTCCAAGTGATACCTGGATTCTCGAACTCGCCACATGTTGCTAGTAAGGTTTTTAATCAAATCTTGAAGAATTTCCTTCAAATACTTATCCACCTAATGAAAGCAAAAGGATAAAATGAAAAATGTAAAATCCAACAATACTGATCATTTTCTTCATTAAAGTGACCCTGGGTCTCTCAGTCTGCAACTCTCTCACCATTTTGCAATAATTTGAAAATGCAAAGACAGATGATTCTTTTCCATAGTGCATGAGAACAAAGTCTAATCACTTGGCTTTATACAACACAAAGCCCCACGGTAACTCATCGTACCACACAGGTTTCTTATTAGTCTCAGTTCTGTTTCTTGGCATGCATATAATACCTCTGCAGTCCAACTTTTTGTCCATGGGGATTTGGAGTGGCCACCGCTCAGAGAACTTTGGCCTACTGACTCTCTTCCATGATCCCACAGCACCCTCGTAAGGTAAACCATATCCAGTAATTCATTATTGCACTGCTCTGTTACACTGGACTTCAATGGCAAGATAGTATCTCACCGCTCTGCACTCTGGTACAAAAATAAGTAATGTATACTGGTTCAGAAGGAAAGTTAGTTTGAGCTAAACTTTGGTGATAATTAATGGTAGATTAGGTTGGAACAGTAGGCTGCAAGCTAAAAGGACCTGTGTAACCCTATAACCTAAGCTATTCGAGAGGCTGAGGCAAACACAAAAAACACAAAGATATGGACCCAGCCTGAAACAGATCAAGATCTTAAAGGGAACTATTATCAGTGGTAGAACACTTGCCTAGTACATTTAAGAGCACGGGTTCAAACTCCAATACTGGGGGGGAAATGTAAACTAAAATCTATTTAAGAATTTTAACCAAAATCCAATCTGTAATATTAAAAACTACTTTTGTAGCCGGGCAGTGGTGGTGCACGCCTTTAATCCCAGCACTTGGGAGGCAGAGGCAAGCAGATTTCTGAGTTCAAGGCCAGCTTGGTCTACAGAGTGAGTTCCAGGACAGCCAGGGCTACACAGAGAAACCCTGTCTCAAACCCCCCCACACACACTTTTGCTGCTATGTAGATAATGAAATACAGGACAAAGAGAAGAAAAGGATGATGATGATCTACTCATCAGGAAGAATCGCAGACGGGCAGATTCAAGGAACACTTGATAAAAGCAAGAATCAACAGAAACTGCTGCTAAATTTGACTAAGATTGGGGGCATCATAAGACACAGACCAAAAAGGAAGGTCACACCAAGTTTTCTGGCTTGTCCAAATACATGAACAGTGAGAACACAGAAAAGGCGTTTTTTCTTTTCTTTTCAGACTTTTACTGGACATGTTACACTTATGGTACATGTAAATAACAGTCAAGTGAAGACATGAGGCAGGAAGTTACATTTGTAAATATGGATGCTGCGCATGTCCTATCTGAGCCAGTACAGAACTGAGCAGTACAATTACAGTAAGTGGAATGCTTATATGCCCAGGAGTTAGTAAAATGAAAGCTAAGAGGACAACAGTACTCAGAGGTAGCTCCTGAGAAGCCTTAATATCTGAAAGGAGGATTGAATGTAATCAACAGCCAGGTTACAGAACCAAGGAAAACAACATATGGTAGCTATTTCAACTGTCTGTCTCCCCAACTAAACTCCTTAATCATAGGTTTGTGACCTATTCTTCAGGCATCAGTGATGCCTGTAAACATATAATACTCCATTTGTGTGAATATACTATTGGGGTTTTTATTTTTTAGATATTTTATCCATTTACATTTCAAATGTTACCCCTTTTCCTGGTTTCCCCTCCAAAAACCCCCTATTCCATCCCCCTTCTCCCTGCTTTATGGTGCTCACCCACCTATCCACTCCCACCTCGCCGTCCTGGAATTTCCCTACACTGGCCATTGAGCCTTCACAGGACCAAGGGCCTCTCCTCCCATTGATTGAACAGAGGTGTGTAGCAATGAGGGATGGGGAACTAGGGGTAGCCACCAGAAAGTCCCAGATGCCAGGAAAGAGAGAGGCTCTCAGGACCCAACGGGGATGAGATTAGCTGAAATGCCCAACAAAGTGGAGGAAGAACCTGCAGAGACCTTATCCAGAGGTTAGACTATTGTTCTTTGAACTATGTATCCAACCAGTGAACATTTTGATTGCTTTTATTTTTGAGCTCTCAGTAAATATTAGAGAACCACTGAAAGAAAAAGCAAACAAGCAATGAAAGGAAATAAATATACAAGGGGCAATGGATGCTTGGTTTAATCCTATGTGGTGCCACAGGCAAGCTACAGTGTTTTTCCTAATACACAGGCTAACAGATACTTGCCACTGATTTGTCGGTGACCAATGCATTCCAAATGCTTGTCATAGCCTGTCGAATTCCAAGGTTAGGATCAAACTGGTAACGATAAAGTCGAGGAACTAGTTGAGGCAGAAAAGGAGCCAGTTGTTCTCCAGCTCTGGTAGCAATTACATTAAAACCAAAAGCAGCACCCTGGAAATAATAAAGACTAATTTATACATGACTGACATAGTAAAATGTTAATGTATTAAATAAAAAAAGGCTTTAAATATTCTTTTTCAAATTGATCCCTAAATAGAACATTACTTAGTATTCTAGTTTTACCAAAATAATGGCTAATGTGGTAATCTGGCTCCGAGACACACAGATTTTCAAAACTGACACCACAAGGCTAATGTAACAAGTTTGGTTTTAGAGTAAATAAAAGAATTAAAAGTAAAAACCCAGTAAGAACTGGGGGTATATAGTTCAGTAGTATAACACTTATCATGTATACATGATGCCCTGAGTCTGTTCTCCAGTAAAAATTGAAGAAAGAAATGAAATAAAATAACAACTTACCTTCCTGGAGTTCCACATTGCATGATGATTCGCCAGGTTCATAAATTTATATACCAGATCTGGCTGACTGAGATCACTTGCCAGAGAGCAAAGCTCCTTGTAAGTAGAAAGGCCCTGACTTAGAAACAAACAAAAAGAAATACAAAATAAAAATTTTTTTATAGCTATCTTTGGCCTGAAGTTAATTTCAGCATCAATATTACAGGGGCTCTTTTAAATTGTATTTCCCTCAGTTGCTAATACCATAATCATCAATGAGGAAACTGAAAACTAGGCTGAGAAGAATATACCTCAATTATCAATAATTTCTAAATCTTTTTGCCGGTAAATACCTAATACAAATTAACTGTGAAATATCTCCCATAGGCTCAAGTGTTTGACTATTTGGCTCTCAGCTCATGGTGCTGTTTTGGAAGTTTGCAGGATCTGTAAGAGGTGGATCTTTGTTGTATGGAGGAAGGAGGTTAGAAGGCAGAATCCCCTGCAACCACACAGCCATCTACTGCCATTCCTTCCCTTCCATAATGGACCTTACAGCCTCCAACTGTAAACCAGATGAACTCTCCATCGCTTTTTATCAGCTACTTGACAGTAACAAACACGATACCTAAAATGTGCCTGCATGTTCCATGGAAGTGACGCTCTTGGCAGCTCTGGAGACACCTTCAAAGTTCATCATGTTGTACGCAATCTCTCATAACCATGAGTGTTTTGAAATTATCTATGTTAAATTTCCTCTAGGTATAATATATAATTTTGTGAAAAATTAGCACTTTTTAAATTTGTAAAGCCAGGTACAGTGGTTTGTACCTCTGTAGTTGTACTAAGAGTTCAACTAAACCAACTCAATATCAATTATCAACAAAGATAATGAGACCTTGTCCACCTCAAAAAAAAAAAAAAAAGAGGAAGAAGAAAACAAAGAGAAAAGCTCAGAAAGAATTTAGAAAAACAAGCAAATAATAAGAATTTTGAATATGAAAACAGTAAGATATAGAATAGCACAGGACAGATAAGCCACCTGCAATGTTCTCTTGTTCCAAATGTCACAGGAAGACAGAGCAAGTCGTATATGTTATCTGACAATTCTTAGAGAAAAAAAAAATGATAGTATAACCACACTGAAATAATAATGAAAGAGGAACAACATCAAAATTAATTTAAAATACTACACTGGCAGACTAGTCAAACACAAAAAGTATTCCCAGAAAAAAATTTAGATGAATTTAATGTAGTTGTATGTTGCAAAATGTCTACTCAGGACTCAGCTTCCTAGTATTAGACCTAGTATTAGTTTCTAAGAACTAAGTTTAGTCTTTGAGGTCATGGCCTCCCACAAAGCAGCCTGCCACGAATGATTACTCATTGAACAGGCATAATGGCATAAGACGTAAGCCAAAAGGCCCAGGCTCTGTGGCTCGAAGCTAACAACCCTGAAAGGCCATGCCATCCTAGCTTGAAGCTTCTCAAGAATCCAGTGTCCAATGAGGTTATGGCTTCAGGTCAACGTTCCTTCTGCCATCACTAGTCTCCTTGCTCACTGCTCCCAAAGACAATCCTAAGGGAATTCTCCAATAAACTTCCAGTATACTGGACTCTATCTCATGAGTCCAAGAAAACCCAATCTAAGACAGTAAGGTTTTTCAAACCGTTTTTATTTATCCATCAACATATAACATTCCTATCCTCCCTTAGTTGATCAATGTGTTTAGATTTAGCACACTTACCCATCAGGTGTTTTGCCAAGGCCACCCCCTTGAAATACTACTGTCTCTCCAGAAACTTCATGTTTGACTCTAAAACAAATCAGTAAGAATTTAAATTAGCTTCAAATTTCCCATACCAACAATAAACAATTGGATACAATCCATTTGCAAACTGATAAAACCTATGTCTAGCGTATAAAAGATATAAAATGATTCTTTCCTACCACACTGCAAATTTTCTAAAATCAAATATAAGCAAAAAATTTCACAGATTAATTGCAGCCAATGTGTCACACATAAAAACTACCCTTCCCTCAAGGAGGTAACAGAAAACAGCAAGCAATTACAAAACCAATCTCTCTCCATGTACTCATCCACATCAGACTACGAATGACATTAAAGTTTCTTCATATTACACATTAACTTATTTTAGCCAAAGGTATTAAAATGTTTTCTAATCCAATGCTTTAATTGTCGTTGGATCATTCAAGTTTGAAATTTTCTGAAGTAAACAGTATACACTGGGATAATTAAACTGTTTACAATCACTGATGTTCAATATCTTAATATTAGAAGGTGGACTTATCCTTCTTCCATATCATAAGGCTCAATATCCTAAGTATTCATAGCTGAAATTTTAAATTCACTATACCTTTTGCCAGTCATAAGTGTTTCTACAAGTGTAGAAACCAATTCTTGTTGATCTTGTTCATTGCCCAGCTCATAAACCAACCCAAGTCCCTTTGAGGCAACATCTTGGCTGAGTTCTACAAAAAAAGTAGACAAAATTATACTATTCTAAAAGAAATTTGCCTCCTGGCCAAATATTTTTCTTTCAAATAATTCTCTTTATTCTAAAATTCTACACAAGTAAAGATATAAAAAGTAAAAGCACTCTTCTCTTCCTAAATCAAGATAGTGGATAAAACATCATACATTAAAAAAGATGAGAATCATGACCAAAAACTAATAAAATACCAATAACTATAGTGTCACTATAAAAATCATAGTATCAGAACATCGACATATACTATTTATATTATAGATGAAAATATTTTCCTAGGATTTTAAGACACCTATATCCAATTTTAGAAAAAAAGAGGCAATACTAGTCCATGTGTTTTAAATAAGATGTTTCAAAGCTATTATTTAAATTTCTAATATACTCACTTTCTCCTGGCTTTAATCAAAGAGGAAAAGTAATTCAAAGTAGAAAAACTTTAACACTAATGTTAAGGCCTCAGTTCCATTTTTAAAAATCTAAAGTTGTAGAAAATGTTATTTTTTTTTAATTTTTTTTTTTTTTTCGAGACAGGGTTTCTCTGTGTAGCCCTGGCTGCCCTGGAACTCACTCTGTAGACCAGGCTAGCCTCGAACTCTTGAACTCAGAAATCCACCTGCCTCTGCCTCCCAAGTGCTGAGATTAAAGGGACGATGTTCTAATTTATGTATAAGAAAGAATGTCTATTTCCTGTACTTTAGAACTTTAGTGGAAAGATGGTACTGTGGTAGTTAATGTTGACTTTTGCCTTAATACAAGTACCTTTAATACTAAAAAAATTAATTTTTAATTTTATTGCAATTCTGTGGTAGAGTCATAACTCGATATAACTCAGGATCCTCCTGCCTTTTACCTCCCACACACTAGGATTAAAGGCATATGGCTAGTTTTGTTTTAGTCACATGGCTCAGGAGTTTTTTTTGGTATGATTCATTCACTCACACCTTTAAAATTTAAAATGAAAGTAAACTGAAGGTGACAAATCAAATAATTACCAAGAACTTACCATCGTTTTCTGATAGAACTGAAACAAATGCGCTCTGAATTTCTTTAAGATGGGACTGAAAGAAAAGAAAAGGCATTAGAGCACTGAAGTCCTACCTCTTCAGGAAAACAAGAATCTCACTGGTATGGTACACTGAGGCCAGACAGTCTTAGGACCACGGCAGTCATGACCTTACCACCAAGTCAACTTTACAGGTGTCCATATTACCTAAGTTGTACCACACACAAGTTTTCTAAGCATTCAGGCTAACCACTGTCCCAACATGAGCCTGCCCATTTTCATCCCTCTGACTTTACATCTTCACATTTAGATCATTTTCTTGCCGGTATTAATCAGATCATCCTCCTTCAGTGCCTCACATGGTAATTCTGCTACTTTTTAACAATTCCAACCTTCATACACTTTCTTTGTGCTTTTAATTCATAAACACTTTGGGATTCTTACAGAGTTCATCACATAACCAGTGAATATTATAAAACTCACCTTCACTTCTATGTGGGTACTTAGTTTTCTCACAAGAGAAAGGAGCCAGATGCAGGCTGCTTGCCTCACATGTGGGTTGGGGCTGATAATATGTTTATTTAAAATAATATCTAAAACCCATGGGACAACATCATTCACTTTGGCACCTGAGGAATAAGCAAAGAAAAATTACAATTAAAATACCCAAATATAATTTTCTTTAAAAAAATCATATTTAAGCCAACAATCACACAATAACCCAATGTTAAAATCCAAATGACCAAGAATGTCCAGAAATTAACATAAGCTAAATGATCTTTGTAAATTATTCAAATAACTCTAGTTTATTGGATAAAAAAATTACCCTAGTCTCTTCAATCTCAGCAATTTTTCTTTATTAAATCTTTCTAAATTTCCATCTAAAAATTGAACAATATCTTTGGATTTCATTTCCTCCTCCAGCTATAACATATTTGTCTCTTTCCCCATTACTTCACGGTTTCACAATACCAACAAATGCTGATTTGCTTTACCATATATATATATATTGAAGATAGATAGATAGATAGATAGATAGATAGATAGATAGATAGATAGATAGATAGATTCAAACAGAAGCTTGAGAACTAGTTTGGCTTCCACCAATCACAGACATCCTATATATACCACTAGAAAAACCGTTTCCCTATTTCTTTTAAAGTCTCTCTACGATAGATGACAAAATAATAGATAAAGACGATATTACAATATTAAATGTTAACTAACTATAATACTGAGTACAACAACTAATTTCACTATGGATACAATTCACAATAGTACTGTTACCATGAAAATATTCTTATTCAATTTTCCCAACTAAGAAGATAAAATACAAATACTTTCTGACTTCTCTTTTAGCTTTAAAGAGTAAAACAAAAAAAGTCCTGGCTCGATACTAAAATATATTTTAATTCTAAATTTAAATCAACTAAAAAAATATTTGAGTTTGTGTTTTGGATTTTTTTGTTTTGCTCTGTTATTTTCTTCTCTAATTGTTAACATTAGGCTTATTCACATTTTTTGTGTACATGTACACATACATCCATCTATATGAGAGCCCATGCCACAGCGCACAAGCTGAGATCAGAGGTCAGCTTTGCCAAAGTTGCTTCTACACCATAGGGGTCCAGGGATAGAATGCAAGCCTTTAGGCTTGGCAGCACTTGCTGAGTGGTCTCACTAGACCTTGGTTTGGTTTTTGTTTTGTTTTGTTTTTCCCTTTTGTTGCTGTTGGTTTTTGTTTTGTTTTGCTTTGTTTTTGAGATAAAGTCTCTCATTATATATCCCACATGTTCTCCAACTTAACATCCTCCTGCCTTAGCTTTCCAAGTGCTGGGATTACAAGCATACATCATCTTAGTTTGAAATCTAAGTATTTGTTAGCATATGCTCAGGAACCACATACATGTTCTCTCAAATGACCAGGAACTAAATTCCAGTGTACTTCCAGGACTAGCAGGGGACAGAGACAGCTCATTATGTAGTAAGGAATTAAATATAAGAGGCTGAAAAAGTTCACATTTTCATGTTCAATCTTTCCTCCTTTTTTTTTCTTTTCTCCTCCCCCAACATAGCTCTGGCTGGAATTTGCTACATGGACTAGGCAGGCCTTGAATTCATGGAGATCCTCCTGCCTCTGAATGCTAGGATTAAAGGCATGCACCACCATGCCCAGCTATGTTCAATCTTCTTTAATCCTTCTTGGTAGACCAAATTAGTAAGGCATGTATCAATATTTGGGAAAAACATTACTTTTGCAACTAATAGAGAAGAAAACCAGTCAGCAACTGTAAATCAATTAGTTATTTAATACCAGCAGGAGGTATATATTCTTCTTCAGTCATCAGCCAGGCATCTCGGGCAGCCACAGAGTTAGTTCCTATTGCAGCACTGGTAATGGCTTCACCAATAGTGAACTGAAGTTCAATCTGCTTGGCCTACAGGGAAGGAAAGAGAAACCCATGAATAAGAGAAATCTCCATTTCTATAGAAGAGCTGCTTCGTACCCTAACCCTCAGCAGGCTTATTTTCAGTCTTTTGCCACACTGAGGCTAACACAGGGATTCAAAAGAGGGTGGGGAAAGGACTGGAAAACTAAGGAGCACTTGAAGGTTATCTCTCACCTTCAGGGGACGGCTGCACAGAATCATCGCTATGTGGTGGTTTTTAATTTTTGGAATCATGACAGGTTTCTATAAGAGGTTGGGATAATTCAAAGGTAAAGACTCAGAGACACCAATGCCTATTCAAGCTCGGTCCCTCACATGTCCTATCTAAACGTCTCTGGGGCTCAACAATGTCACGGGTTAAAGGAGCACAATATCATAATTCACCTCATCATCCCATAAGGATTAGATGATTTTAATTTAAACAACACTTTCATTATAATAATTGCACATTGAATAATGGCAACTATATTTTTATAAAACCTCTTCATGCTCTTCCAAGATATCTGCAAGTTACTCTCAAAAGGTCCTGAAAAAAAGAAGAGCGTGATAAAGCAAATATAAAATGCTAAAACTTGGTGAATCTACATCAAAGGGTATCTTCTCTGCATTAACTTCACTGTAAATTTGACATTGTTTCAAAGGCCAAACATTAAAAATTCTGTGTAGTTGCATACTTAAATGTTTACATTTTAATTCAGAAATTCTGATGCTGTTTTACAAGCAGGAATCATTATCCCAACATGGAAGTGGATCTGCCTTGGTACCCTCTGGCATTTTTCTGTTTACTGTGAACATTTTAATGTAAGAAAATAAGGATGGGATAAAGACTAGCAATGCATGTGTGGGACATGAGCATGATGACTACACAGAACAGAAGGTTAGGCCACCCTAAGTCTTCATTTAGGGTTTAATCTTCATGGAGCATCAAGTTCTACATCATTTCTGGTCAAAAGCTTCTCTGGGGACCTTAAGAGCTGAGAAAAGATATTTTAAGACTCTTTATCAGGAATTTAATAATCGATTTGTTTACCTACCTGTTAATTAGACATTTTCTATTTTTGATACCATAACTGGTATACACACACATATAAAAATCAAAACCTTATAGCTACATTTAGGAATGATAAAAGTATCGAAGCTTACTATGTACTGAGGAAACAGAAAATTAGTAATTAAATAAAGCAAGTTCATGGGGGAGTCACTATACTGTTACTCTACTTTTGTATTGATTTGAATTTTTCCATAATGAAGCTTAAAGCTGGGGTTGGCCTTGTCTAGCATGTTTTGTCTAGCTGTTTTGTATTCATCCTCATCCTTTAATCTTTCCATATTGCTTCCATGCTTTTGGTTTTTCAGTATTTCTGTATTTCTAAACTTTTAATAAAACAATGGCATCAAAATCATGCTAAGAATCCAACAATGAGGACAGGAGAAATGGTTCAGCAGTTAAAAGCACTGGCTGCTCTTCCAGAGGACCAGAGTTCAATTCCCAGTACCCACATGCCAGCTCACAACTGTCTGTAACTCCAGCTCCAGGAGAGTTGACACCTTCACAAACATACAGGTAGACTAAACACCAATGCACACTAAATAAATAAATAAATAAATAAATAAATAAATAAATAAATAAATAAAATCTAACAAGCTTTTGTTAACTTAAATACAACTGGAATTGTCTTTAAAAAAAAAAAAAAGATGAAAAGCTAAACATAAGCTTCTTTCCAAGAGGTTACAATTACACTGATAGGATGTTTGAGTAAGAATCACTCCCATAGGCTCATATATTTGAGTGTTTGGTCCCCAGTTGGTGGAACTGTTTGAGAAGGATTAAGAGGCATGGTCTTGTTGAAGGAAATGAATGTGTCACTGGGAGTAGGCTTTGGGGCTAGGCCATTCCAAGTTAGCTTTCTCTAACTCAGGACTTATGATCTGAACATGAGCTCCAGTGTCATACCTGCCTGCCTGCTGCCATGATAGTCATGAACTCACACTCTGAACTGTAAGCCACAAATAAACTTTCTTCTGCAAGTTGCATTGGCTATGGTGTTTTGTCACAGCAATTGAAAAGTAACTAAAACATCAGGCATCTGGTGATGATGACATCAGTATAACTCTGAAAATATTATATGAGAATGGGGAAGCAGCTCAATAGAGGAGTGTATGCTTAGTATGGGCAAGACCCTGGATTCACTCTCCAACAGAGGGGAAACAAAAGACTCTAAGCTTGAACTTCAAAACCAGTTCTCTTACTCAGTAATCTCAATCCTTACATCTTTTATCCTGAACTAACATTTATCTCCTTTCTCATCCTTCAAGGCTCAGTAGTAATTTCTTCTCCAAGTAGATTATACCAAAATTCTTAGACACAATCACACACTCCTTTAGTATTGTATGCAAATATATCCCTATTCATTTACTTCGACCAATACTTATGAGAATCAACCTTTGCAATCACACTGCTAGACGCTTGAACAATGATGAACAAAGCAGACCCTGCCTTCTGTGTATTGTTAGAAGGTGTGATGATGCCATAATTGAAAAGGTTTCAAAGTACTATATACAACTAAAGAATCTAATATAGTTTAAATGTCAGAAAAAGTTTTTCAAGGAGCATAACAACAATCTGAAAAGGATGTACAACGTCAAAGCAAAGAGACTGGCATATAAAATATGAGAAAATGTGAAGGACCACCTCTAATGTGAGTAAAAGAAAGATTAGGTCATGCTAAGGCACATTACAACTTACTAGAGTTCTTTTCCCACATTATGTACCTGTAACTCAAGAGCAATTAGAGTACAAGCCCCCACTCTCCACAGATGGCCAATTGGTTTCTTCTATTTATACTATACCATGGTTCACTCAAAAACAATCAGTCTTTCCCAGATATGCAATTTATAGAGCTATGTCTAACACAGTAACAAGCCTAAAGCTAAAACTCAAAATTAAATATATGATACAGAAACAAATGTTTAACTTGAAAAAAAAAAATCTCAGAGTATAGGCTGGAGAGATGGTTCAGTGCTTAGAGTACTGATTACTCTTCCAGAGAACCCCAGAACCAACATGGTAACTAATGACCATCTGTAATTTACAGTTTCAGGGGATCCAATGCCCACTTTTGACCTCTGTGGGCACTGCACGCGAGTGGTAACACAGACACACAGACACATAAAGTAAATTAATAACCTCCCAATAAAACAAAATTCTAAAATTTCATAATAGGCAAAATAACTAAAAAATGCATTTTATTTGAATAATTAAAAATATAAATACCTCCACAGAATCCATCAGACCTTGCAAAATGAGTTTCTGGTGGGGAAAAACCCCATCTCCAACAGGAAAATAGCCCAATGTTTGGATTGCTCGTTCTTTCATCTGGAAGAGCACAGATTCTATTTTTAATTTTAAACAAATAGCAGCTTTATTTCAAAACAGTACTCCCAAGATGACAGGAAGAGGCAATCTGCCTCATATACTGATGCCTACATTGTTACAAAAGCACCCAATTTTACAAGATTATATCTACGAGATATTAAAAACAGAAAATTGAGCCCTTTAAGGACCCATACCTACAAAAATTAAAACTAAAAAGAAAGCCTTAGGCTTATCATTTAAACTGCCAAGGTTGCAAATGTGGTTTACAAGCCCAGAGGACCCAGGAACCAATGATCTCTACTATCTAGTAGCCTTTAGGCAAGTTATATCAACTCTCTGAAACTCTATGTTATCTCACAGAGAAATGACAACTATGTCTATTTCACTGTATGTTTAAAGTCTTAATTTTAATACATGAGAAACTTATAGCATACTCCATGGGCACATTACAGCATTCATCAATGGCTGATGAATACTGGTTAATGATAGTTAAAAAGAAAACTACATGGTGTGACTGTTTTGGTTTTAAGTAACAGCTAAACCAAGAACAAATTTACAATATTTTTTTTAATTATAGTAAATGGGTATTTTTCTACTCATTAAATTATCATCTTCTTCAACATTAGGTACTGTAATTATAAAGAATGTCTTAAAATCTATGAAAACAATTATCTCAACTAAAAAAACTGCAACTGTTCTTTTCCTCAGATAATTCATTCCACTTCAAACAAAACTGGCTGTAAGAAAAATAAGATTTAGAACTGCCCTAAAATTATATAAATCATGAAACTGATTATTTTATCATCCAGCTTTTTTATAACAAAAATGGTTCTTCAATGAATTTTTAATTTTACTGAAAGCCTAACTGTTAAGGAGTTAAATTAGAATAACTAGGTCAAAAGATAACATACAAACTAGTTTATACACGGTTCCTTTATTCAAAAGCAAATACGAAGTTTATCAAAATTTCATCTTTATCATGTTTTAACAAATTAGTAAAACATTACTCTAGCTGCAATGTGCATGGATGGATATAGAAAGATGACTATACTCATAATAACTTGGTTTTGTTAGTTTATACAACTATGAATAGAAACAAAGAATTCTAGAAGGGAAAAAAATAAAAAGGCTTGCCTTATTTGTTTCTTTACTGGAAGGGATTCTATTGAGTAAGCTTTCCACTAGGTGCAGTTTAGTAAATCCAGATCCTTCACTGGGGATTGGAAGAGGACCATTTCTGCCAATTTCACCCAGGGCTGTACAGGCAGCAATTGCCAACAGAGGTGATGTACTGTCTAAAAATGAACCTGTAAGCATATTTAGATACAAGAGAGTGACATACTAATTACTCTTATGATTTAAACCAATTAGCCATGTATTAATTTTTTTTAAGGCAGCAAAAGAAAATCAAGGTCTATAATGCTTTTTGGTTGACCACTTGTTGACATTTATGCAATAAAAAGACACCATGGCAATAAGACTTAGTGTCTTTGAATGTTAGTTTTTTTCCCCATAAGTGGCACCAGAATATAAAAACATGTTACACACACACACACACACACACATTTTCATTTTTACTAAAAACAGAAATTATTTTATGGAAAAGCTTGTGCCTTTAAAGTGCTACAAGAAGAAACAAAAATACCATATTAAAATTTTAAAATTTCAAAACCTGAAACAGCCAAGCAAACCAGTTCACACTGACCTATTGTTTCTGTAGCACTCCGAATGATCTCCTCTTGCTCAGGCAAGATGTCAGCATCTGTCTCCAGGTCACGCTGTTCTGCCATTCTCACTCTCTTCTTAGCCAAGTATCTTCCCACAGTAAATCCCAAGGCAAGCAAGGATCCATGTTGTACCTCAGGGCTCTGAATTTAATAATGTGACAGCACTGTTTCTTTTTCACACATGAAAAGATACACTAAGATAACTTGTTAGGCTAATGTCCCTGATAAACCTAAAGCTAAAAAAGAAAATGATTACTCTGGCCTCTACTGGAAGCCAATGAAGCAAAATTAGGCAATGGCAATTTATAACAAGAGTTTCTAACATAGAATGCTGAGAAATTAAGTTGGATCTTTATTGACATCCAGAATTAGATACCTTAATTTCATAAAACCACCAGCTCTGGAACAGGGACTTTTAAAATAAGCTTCTATAGTCCTTATACTTTCTGATTTAATTTTCATTTTATGAGTGTTTGCCTGAATGTATGCTTTTGTATCATGCTCATGCAATGTCTCCAGAACAAGAATGACTCCCTAGAACTGGAGTTACAATTGGTTTTGAGTCACCTAGAGGGTGCCAGAAATTGAACCCAGGTTCTCTCAAAGAGTAGCCGGTGTCCTTAACCACTGAGCATCACTTCAACCCATGATACTTTTTTCTTGTTTTATATCACTATATAGCTAATTATCATAATGTTCAAGGATAATTTCTCTTCTCTATACTGCCAACAAAATACAATGAACAGTCCTTTTTCTAATTGCTAAAATCTTCAAAACAAGTAGGCACTATACTCATAAAGTTTGCTTTTTTTTGTAGGTACTGTGATTAAGTGGTCGCAGAGATGGGGCAGGGAGAACTAATAACTCTGAATGCCAGGCAGTCCTAGGGATTCCCAACTAATTACCTACCACAATGTATATAGTACCTAAAAACAGTATTTTCAGACACAGAATTTAAATCTGCTAAATGAAATGACTAAATCAGCACATGTATCTCAATCTTATAAAAGCTAAGAATTTGTAAGTTTACTTTACAAATGGAAACCTAAAAACTAGTACAAATACTTTGTAAAACCCTATCCTACTGAAAAAGAATGGAGTCAAGCTATGGTAGAACATGCTAAGACAGAAAGATCTTAAGTCTGAAGGCAGCTTGGGCTACACAGTAAGACCCAGGCTCAAAAAGATCTAACAAAATCCGGTAAATCCATACTTATAATTTCCTAATCCAGGAAGATGGTCCTATGAGATTCACCTATTTTTATAACTGAAAGAAAAACAAAGTATAAAAAAATGTCAAAACTTCGTTTTTTTTTCACTGTCTTACAGGCTCAAAGAGAAACTGATCCTTTCTAGCAAAGCAGTTCCTAAGTTCTTGACATATCAGTATTTAGCTCTGAAGTGTAATAAATCTGTTGGAATGAAAAAAGAAACCTTGCCTTTATGATTAATAACAGTGCCTAGCCAGGCAGTGGTGGCACACGCCTTTAACCCTAGCACTTGGGAGGCAGAGGCAGGTGGATTTCTGAGTTTGAGGCTAGCCTGGTCTACAGAGTGAGTTCCAGGACAGCCAGGGCTACACAGAGAAACCCTGTCTGCGAGGGGGGGGGGACCAAAAAACAAACAAACAAACAAAAAAATAACAATGCCTAAATTTCAGATACAGGTTCCTGTGTTTTGTTAAAATACAGTTATTTAAATAACAAAGTAGAGTGAAGATAAATTGTTAACATACATGATTGTCTTTTGTGGCCTTTATCAGCTGTTCTATCATTGACTTTAACTCATTTCCGGATACTGTTGACACAACCACAGAATAAAACAAAGCCGCCAATTCACGCATTTCTTCTTTACTGCTACTCATCAGACTCTGAGCAATGGAGAAAATAAATAGATAGATGATTCATAACCATCTTCCTCCTGACACTTAAAATTATAAAAGTAAATGATATATTTTAACACTCAATCTATTGGTATCCATTAAAAAAAATGCAAAAAGCTTTTTTTTTTTTTTTTAAAAAAAAGGACTCTGCAAGGCTTCAAAGGACAGTTACAATACAAATGTCACACATATAGCCTTGGTTAAACTAAATGGTTAAAAAAAAAAAAACCAAAAATAATAAATATGGGAAAGAGGCTGGTGCTAGGATGGTAATAGGGATGAGAGGAAAATATAAGAGAAAAAAAGAGAGAACTATCAGAAAGTATTATGTATGTGTATGAAATTATGAAAGAACAAGCTTAATATATTTGAACTTGATCTAACCTGAAATCCTTCTTCCTGCAATCTAGCTTCCACAATACCAGAAAGTACTATGAAAGCTACAAAGGGAAGAAAACAATTAACAGTCCTACTTAGCTGTGACACCTATTAATCACAACAATGACCAGCATGACAAAGTATCCATAAAGGTGTAGTAGTGGTACTCCCCATATCCATGCTAATCAAGAGCTGTCTTAACTGGACTCAAGGCCCATTCAACAGGAGGGAAATTACTCCTGATACCAGAGACCTGGCCAACTATCCAGGACTAGTGAGGTCATAGATTTTAGAAGAGAATCTACTATCACCACTTATACCAGGATAACTCCTAACTACACTCTAAATCTAGTCCCTATACCCAGAGATAAGTATAGCTATCATGTCTCATCAAAAATGCTTCTCTCTATAACAAATGGAGGCCATTATAGAAAACCATAACTGAACACAATGCAAATAAAACATCAATGGATTGTGGGGGAGCTCAGCATGAATGGATACATCTGCAGCACAGTTCCTGCATCTTTAATTCACATAATAGCAAACAACAGGGTTGGTGGGTAGGGTGTTGTAAGAGCCAGAATACCAAGACTGCCTCTATTCAAAATGATTGAACAAACAAGACCCAAACAGTGACAATATCAACAGACTCTAACACACTAAGAGGGAAATCTTACCAGGTCCTACCCCTAGACAAAATACTACAGGCAATCAATGATTGCTGAGGGAGAATTAGCCACTTGCATGAATAAGCTCCCTGACTAGTTAGCCAATACAAAGTGGTCAGCGCTGAAATCACATATACATAAAAAACAAAGATCAAATTATATGAATATGTGTATGTACACACACATATATATACATGCACATACATATATATGAAATAATAATAAAAGAAAAAGAAGCTATCAGTTTGAAAGGTAGGGAGGAACATGAGAAGGGCTACAAGGAAAAAAGAAGAGGGAATGATAATTATATTTTAATTAAAAATAAAAAATAAGTGAAAAAATTTTATGAGCTGAACTTATATATAAAAATCTTACATTTTCATAAAGAGATACAAAACTTTAAAACAGATAAAATAAATACAGTTGATTTCAAATAGAGATCAGCAAACTTTTTTTGTGAAGGACCAAACAGACTATATGGGCTATCTAGTCACTGCTGAGACTACTCCATTATGTCACTGCAGTTCACAAAAGCAGGTACAAATAATACACAGCTGTGTTCCAATAAAACAAGAACTACAGTTTGTATATAATGAAATAACACCTTTTGTTACTTTTTTCAACTATTTAAAAATATAAAGGGGCTACAGTTGTAGATCAGAGGGAAAACACCTATCTACCATATGCAAAGTCCTGTTTCCATAAAATTCAACATAAAATTTTTTTAATAAAGTGAGAAGCATTATTATCATGTAAACCATAAAAAATAGGAGTCAAACTGCATATTTTGTTCATATGTCACAGCATGACAGGCCCTAGAATCAAACTCACAGTCTGGTCTCTCTTCATATCATAGAAAACTTTTCCCTTCTACCAAGAGATCAAAACTCACAAGATTAGTTTAAATTAAAAAATATTCACAAAGAATGAAAACCCTTTTAAAATAATCACTTTTTAGGAGACCAAATGTTTTCAAGAAACATACAAAGCTAGTATCTCTTGACAAACTATATTCCTATTTTCACATTTAAAAATAAAATCCATAGGTTTTCCTATAACTCAAGCTACAATTTCCAAAGAGAACTATATTACAAAGCACAACAGAAGTACACAACTATATGAGCCATATTTTCACTAAAAAGTCTACTCTAAAGTTCAAATTTAAATGACATTTTTATTCACTACACCTGATAATATTTTTGGTGTTACCCTGAAAGAACAACACTTTCACCTAGCTGGCTGCATAACTTAGTACTCCCCACATGGAGGGCGGGCACTGTAAATACCATAGGACACTGTGTCCTCCACATCTGGGAAACTTAAAAGTATATTTCTCACTATTACATCTCTTCCATGAAATACAATAAAACTCTTCACTATAAAAAAATGTGACATTTCCTTGTATGAAAAATAGAATTACATAGTAATTTGTCCCTGAAACAGATTAAGTACCTTAAATGATCAGCAATAGTGATTCAGAATTAACCTTACAATGGAAAATGATGAGGCTGTTAAAATAAACAGGAGTTTTCTCCACAGTTGTAAGATAAGCTACAGGCCCTACTATTCATTAAATAAGTACAAAACTGTGCCAACAGTGTGCTATCTTTTGTATAAAAGAAAAACATTTTAAATGCACTGTTTTATGTATATATGCATAAGCAAAACAGGTTTCCCCCCATAAAACTATTAATGTATTAAACATGTTTGTCAAAGGCCACGAGAAGAAGGGTAAAATATTGAGAAGATTTAAGGAGGCAGTAAACAATTACAGAAAAGAGATGTTTTACTGACAAATATACAAAATAAGTATGTTTTCAAAATGTGTACCTATTATCATAAAATATTAGCCTACATACTTTCCAGTAAGTACTTGGTTATGGGAAGTTAAAAAAAAAAAAACCTAAAGGTAGTGAAAGGCATAAGACTGGTAGGAAGACCAAAACCTTTCAATTAGTTTGAAATATCTGAATTCACAGAGGAAAAAAAAAAACATATCATGAGGAGATACCTTGATCCATTCTGTTTTGTCTACAAATTTGGTAGCCAATTTTTCTGGATACACCGACACAGCTTCCAATAGACAGTACATGACTGGCAAACCTAAATAAGAGTTCAGAACCATTTTAACTTTCATGAAAAAAAATTCATTTTTTATACAGAAACCCCTAAATTTCTCTCAAATATAATGCTACTGCTCAAACAAAAATTCTGGTCTAAAAATCAAAAGATTACACTTTAAATATAGAATAAACAATTATCAAAAAGATGTCCTGCTCTTCAAAGACAAAAGTATGTATCTATATCAACATTTTCTTTCTGAAATGAAAAATATATTAAAGATCAATTAAGTAGGCTTAGAAAATAAATGAAGATCAATGTTTAGTTACAGAAGTCAAGAAGGTTGGAATAGTTCTGCTGTAAATTTTTATTGAATTTTGATAATTTCATATATTTATACAGTATATTCTGATTACTGTAACCCTCAAGCCTCCATTATTTCTCTTATCCCTATTATTGCATACATACACATATATAACCATCTCCTCCCTACAAGTATCTCTCCCAAATTATTATGTCTTCTTATTTCATTTTGAGGCCCACAGTGTTTAACCAGGGTCATCTGTAAGACCATGAGTTTGGAACCTGTCCACTGAGCCAGATGGGAAAATATTGAAGAAAATGGTAAAATTAACTTTTTGTTTACTTGTTTTAATATTTTTTCTTAGTATGATTAGCTTCATACCTCCAACACCTGCTAACAGCTGTTGAAGCAGGCCAATGTAGATCTGAACAGGGTTGGTTTCTCCACTCTTATTAGAGGACGAAGCTGTCGCCTGGCTGCTTGACATTAAAGTCCGTATGTACCGTCCAATAGCTGGAGCATGGTCTTGCATATCAGCCAAACTCTGAGAGGTGGGCACCACCCCTGCACTATGAGCCAGGCACATGCGCAAGTACAAAACTATCTAAAACAAAAAGAATGAGAAATACCAGCTTTTTAAAATTTATTTATTTTATTCACACTGGTGTGAGGGTGTCAGATCCCTTGGAACTGGAGTTACAGATAGTTATAAACTGCTGTGCTGGGAATTAAACCTGGGTCCTCTCCAGCCCCAAAGTACCAGCTTCTTAAAAAATCAGTGTTGGGGCATATTCTTCAAAGTGACAATTTTCAGTTTTTATGTCCCTACTCTCCTTCACAAAACTTTACAAAATCTTAATGGAAGCCAAGAAGCAAGATTCAATATGCTAACTAAATTATTAGAATTTAACAGAAGGTATTACAAGATTTCATAAATCCAGATACATTTTTTAATGAAAGTAAAAAGCTTGACTTTTGTTTCTTCTTCATGCTGAGACTGAAGCCATATCCTCTCATATGCTAAGCATACACTCTACCAAGGAATTCCACCCCTAGCCATCTTCTTAATCTAAACAAGAATATTTGCTATTTTACAGTTTAAATAATTTAAAACATAAAAATTCACCTTAATGGATGTGGTGAGTTAATCTTCTCAAAAAAATGTGATAAATCTTATTTTGTTTTCTAACCTTGAAAACTAGCAACTTCAATAGTATGCTGGCTTTAAAAGTTAAATCCAACTTACTACAAAAGCCCAACAGTAACCAAATGTTCTGTCATAAAAAACAAAATTAAACAAACAAAACTCTTCCTGGGGCTGAGAATCTGGGAGTGTGACTCAGCAGTAGAGTACCTCCCTGACATGTCTAAAGCCCCACATTTGATTCCCAGTAAAGGGGCTGCAGTGGGTAGAAAACCTCAAGTTAACTATGAATTAAAACAAAACAAATTACCAAATACTAGGTCTTGTTTTCTCAAAATAAATGCCCTAAAAGTACAATGAAACCATAATACGAGTTTACCTATAAAGCAAAACGATCAGACACAGCAGCTTAGGTATGATGTTAGTTTTCATAGTCATTACAGAAAGACGCTGAAGTCCTACCTCTCCAAATGCTGCTGGATTAAATGGAAGGACAGTCGTTCCGGTCATGTATTTGACTGGAGTTTTCATTCGATGCGAGGCCTAATAAAAAAATTCCAAAACAAATTAAATTTTTGAAATATAACTGTTCTTACTCAATTGAAAATAACTTTACTGCTAGCTTTATCAGTGTCATCCATTTGCATTTATCTGTTGATTTTTGTTTTGTTTCACATATATATTTGTATGTATGTGTGTATGTATGCATGCATGTATATATGTATAGGTATTTACCTTAACGTGTGTGTGCATCACACTCAAACAGTGCCTATGGAGGCCAGAGATATGGGCATCATATCCTCTGCGACTAGAGTTACAGAAGGATGTGAGCTACCATGTAGATGCTGGGAATCAAAAGGTCCTCGAAAGAGCTGCCAGTGCTCTTAACCCCTGAGCCATCATCGATCAGCACCTTTCATTTGATTTTTTAAAGACTTTTTTTTTCATAAAAATTAATTCTTGTTTTATTTATATACATGTTTTGTCTGAGTGTATCTAAGTATACCATATGCATGGACAGCTTTTGGAGGCAAAAGGGTGTTAGATCTATTGGACCTGGAGTTACGAATAACTATGAGGCATCATGTGGATGCAGGAAACCAAACCCAGATCCTCTGCAAGAAAGCAAATGATCTGACTGCTAAGCCTTCTCTCTATTCCTAAAGATTTACTTTTATCAATTTTAAACTATGTGAACACATGTGACTGGGTGTGGGTATGTGCATGTGAGTGCAGGTACCCAGAGGACAATGCATTGGATCCTCTGGACCAACAGTCACAGGGAGTTATACTCAGGTCCTGGAAATCAAATTCAGATCTACTACAAAAGACATGTATGGACTTAGTTAACCCTCTGGTCCATGCATTTGTCTTTTCTAAACAAAACACTTTCCCAGGACATGTCCCTCTCACAAAAATGATAGTTGTTCTCTAACAATCAAAATAACACCAATGTAAAAAGTGGGACAGTCAGCACTGAAGATTACTGCTACCAATGCTCTGATTCAGCTGCAGAAACACTGTACGAAGTCAAGACTTACAACAGAATATGGAATAATTATCATGGAAAATCTCGACTGCTCACTAAAGCATCCTTACATTTTTGACACCTGGTACACTTAAGAACATCAACAAAGAAATTTAATTTTTTTAAAGATATGTTTTTAACTATGTCATACTGAAAGAAAATTTTTTTCAACATACTCAAAATATTGACAAGCATTAAAGGAATTATAAGTTATTCATATTTTGGAAAAACAAATTAACTGCATGTAAAAATTGTACTTTTCTCCTTACCTTATGGTTTCCTCTTACTATAAATACTATAACTGCTAGGAACTTTACTATTTAATTATTGCATCTATACTTTTAAAATATTGATTTTTATTTTCAATATTTATTAAATGTTTCAAACTAATTACCTGTAGTTAAAATTCCTACCTTTTCTTGAATGTAATATACCATTTCTGGAAAAGATGGCATCTGCTTAGAAGCACTTTCTTTTTTGTTTCTACCAGGAAGACATCTTAATACACGCTGTGCTTCACCATGGACTTCTTCTCGTCTTTTAGATGGACAAATAAGAAGTAAAATATAAACTTAAGGAACTGGAAAGTCATCACTTGAAGGATGAAAATAGAAATTTTATTTGACAAATAGGGTTCTAACAAAATATCTTGAGTATATTTTTGACTGTATAAGCAATAAATGTAAAGTAATATAAGAAATTACATCCTTTTCATAATGAGATCTGCAGTCACTTTCATCGTTAACAAGACAAGTTAATTACAACAACTCATTACTTAAATTTCTATTTGGATGTTTTACTCTTATTGAAACTAAGTCACAAACAACTAGAACATACAGTAAAAGTCAGTAGTGTATTCTGTTTTCTGTGTCCCTACCTCAAACCTGACTCCTCTTGGTAGTTTGTCTACAATTCTACAAAACCAGTAAATGAATGGTATTAGTAATACAACTATAAAATCTATTTCAGGACACCTAAAAAATGACCTCACAACTTTGCTTCTATACCACAGAAGTCTTTTGAATATTCCTTAACTATCTCTGGGCTGGTCCTGAATTCCTAACAGAACCTAACAAACAGCAGACAAGAAAGAATGACCAGGCTGAGTCTCACACTGTCAGGAGTTCTCACTTGAACAGAAAAAATTTTATTAAATTAAAAAGGGGAAATACTGAATCAGTCATGCTTTGTTTTTTTGTGTGTGTGTGTATGTGTGTGGTGTAAATAAAAATACTGGCTATGGTTTGTCTAAGTTCCTGGACTGAAGTCTTGTTCAAACATCAATTGCTATATTAGCTCAAAAACCCTAAACAATCTGGCATGTAGTTGGAAAGCTTATGGTGGGGGGAAACAGATCAACAAAATCAAGATTAACAATCCAAAACCAGTGGTGCCAAACTGAAATGCAGATAAATAAAGAGAAAATCAAGATCAGAAATCAGAAATAAAGGATCTGTAAAATATCAAACAAAAAGATCATATCAATATATATAATTTATACTGAAGGTGGATATTAAAGGCATAAAGTGGAACTAAATAAAATTCTCAGTTATCAAGTAACGTTTTGTTATTTTTTTAAACAGACCACAGAGTTTATAGAAAGGATATGCAAGTGATAAAAGAAAGCTTAATTTTATTTAGAGCTTCATTATAAATATTGCTTTAAAATATGATAATACAATTTAAAAGGAATAACCACATATTATGGCAGATATTAGAGTACTTCACACATCTTAAGATGTCCTTGACTAGAAGCTGGTGATACGGCTCAGTGGTAAAGAGCACTGGTTGCTCTTCCAAAGTTCAATTCCCAGCAAACCCAACATGGTGGCTCAAGACCATCTATAAAGTGATCTCATGTCCTTTCTGACATACAGGTGCACATGCAGACAGAGTGACCGTACATTAAAAAATAAATAATAAGAAATTATAAAACATGCCACTGACTATAAAACAGATAACAGGTCTCTTAAAAAAAGATTTTTTTTCGAGACAGGGATTCCCTGGCTGTCCTGGAACTCACTCTGTAGACCGGGCTGGCCTTGAACTCAGAAATCCGCCTGCCTCTGCCTCCCAAGTGCTGGGCCAAAAGGCGTGCACCACCACTGCCCGACAAGAATTACTTTAATATGCACACATATATTTTACTATATTTACATATGATTTAAAATCATTTTTAAAATTCAGAAATATATAAACAATGAAAAAAGATGTCTCATAGTGAGTAGCACATTGGTCTCATTAAAAATACTCTTCAGAATAAATAAATAAATAAATAAATAAATAAATAAATACCTTAGAATTGCAGTAATATAATTCACTAACAAGTAAAAAGTATATAGATATATACACCTCAATTTTAAATCTTGATATAATAGATATAAAATGAAATTCCATCAACAAAATGAAATATTAAATATGTATTCATGACATTAATCCTTTTTTCTATATATAATTATATCTAAATATATTTACAATATTTATACAATTATAAGGTTTACTTTATTTACATTTGACTAATAAGAATTTTCTATCTATATTATATATGGCATATATTATAGATATACTTATAATTCTATATGACTACAGGTTACCTGAAGGAGTATAATTTGAATTCCTTAATAAATTACTTCCAAACTTCATAAGCCAGCTTTGCAATGAACATAAATTTTAGTAACTTTAAAATATACTTAAAGGTAACCCAAATTCAAATTGATAGCTTTTTAAACTTACGGGTCTCCTGCAGCTAGTAGAAGCAAGTATCTGGAAGGTATATGATCTGAGGGAAACACCGTGCTGGCAAATTTCACTGCAACTTGCCGAACTTGAACTTCAGGCTATTGAACACATACACACATACATACAAAAAGACATTCATCCACACACACCCCAGAAAAAAATTCAATTATCAGCATCTCAATCCAGTCATAAGTCAAGCTAATTGTATATCATTCAAATTTAACACATCAATAAATATATGCCTAAACAAATAAAAATCATTTGTTTAAGAACTCTCTTGAGGGGATAGGAAATGCTGGATATTAAACTCAGGATTTCACATTGCTATATACAAGTTCTACCACTTAGCCCTGTTCAAGATCTTGAATCATGCTGCTACAAGTATTTGACATTATGTAGTGAGCAATTTTTATGACTTACAAGAATCCTGCAAATAGACCAAAGCTCCACAAAAACTTACCTACAAAGAATCTCTGTACAAACACATCTCCAGTGCAAACATGGAGGCACAGTCATTGTGAGGTTTTTATCACTATCCTTGTCTCCCCAGCTTTCAAACTCTTAGTCACACAAGTGAAATTCAGATGTTTTACAAGAGACAGAATCTGATCTTATTTACTATAATTTTGAAACAAAAATATCTCTATCTTTCTCAGATTTGTTCTGAAGTTAACAATGACTTCAAAGCAGAAACTCAACTATACAAATATATTCACTTAACTTAGATTAAAAATGTATAAAATTGGCCCCTTTTTTTTAATTTACTGATGCTAAAGTTTTATTTTTATGTACCTTCCCCCAACATATTCCCCTAGCCACAAACCTAAGTGAAATATGTGAGAAATTAAGAAATATATGCCTTATTCTTCTAGAATTCATGCTACTTACATTTCCTAGGCTACAAAAAAAGAATGATATTAAAGACTAGTTTAAATTAAACAATTTAACCTAAGGTTTGGTTACTTTAAAAATAGTCTATGAAAAAAACTTTATCTTTGTCTTGGTAATACTGCTACTTGATTTCATTTATGTGAGTAGAAGCAGAATCTACAAGCATTATACATATATCATTCTTGCTCATAAGATTTTCTGGAAAAATTTTAAGTGTTCTAATGAGCATCCAGATAGGTCTAAGACTTTGCTATAAGACCATGAAGCACACAAACAAGACACCAAAAGCATGTGACAACAAAACTCATATATATATATATATATATATATATATATATATATATATATATATATATGTCAAGCTTCTAAACACATATAACAGTACAATTTGCTCTTCATATTTCAGTAGACACTAGATGCTTTTCTGATGCTCTTAAGAATTCCATCACATGAAATATTATGGTGGTCTAACTTTTTAAAAAAACATGTTAATCTCACCAGTATACTATAATAATTACATTTCCCAATTTCCTCTATCTTAAGAAATGGAAGAAAAAGAACTAATTAAGGCAAACATTCAATAATGTTCTATTATCTACTATAGGTTATATATACATGTAACATATACATGTTAGATATAACAAACACACATACATATAGCCTGTAATATATACCTGATATGAATACATATAACCTGTAATAAATATATATACTATATACTACACACACACACACACACACACACACACACACACACACACACACACTGTATATATTCCAAAACGCCTACAAATATTTCCTTGAAAAGCAAATAGGAAAGTGAAGGAAGGGCATGTCTGATGGATAGTACTAGGTTTCTTCTTACAGACTCATTTTGACAAATGTGATTTGTCTTTCTGCATTTGTCTAACAGTGATGTCACAAATCTCTCATAGCAGTGTTCAGCTATCAGTTATGACAAAAACCTTACAGCTTGGGAAACAGCATTAAGGTTAGTTTTCCCACACAGAGGCACATATAAACCACTATGCAAACTTTGAATAATCAAAATTTTATAGAAAAAAAAACAATTCAAATTTCCTTCTAAACACTCTACAATATGGCAATAAGCTCGGTAGAAGTGTATTTGCATTTGAGTAACTGAATTTGCATTTGTACTTGTACTTGAGTAAGACCCTGGGTTCAATCCTCAGAATTATAAAATAATTAAAAAGTAGTACTATCATATGCAACAACACAAATGGACTAGAAAACAGGTTAAATAGGCACAGAAAAACAAATGCCACACTACCTCACTCCCTATCTCTTAGACCCCTGTTGAGTCTTTCTAAGACAGTTGTCTAAGAAAGTCAATCTCATAAAAATTGAGAATAAGTCAGTTCACAGGGAAAGATCAGGAAAAGGTCTACAGGTAACAAATAAGTAAGTTCTGGTATCCCACTATATAAAAGAATAACTACAGATGCTAAAGTACATTGCATATTTAAAAAGAAAACCAGAAAAGGGATTTTTTTCATTTATCCTGATTGGAATAGGATATAATTGTACATACTTACTTAAAATGATACCCTTTATATATGTACAACTTATACTTAACAAAAAAGATAATGTAAAATATATACACAATTGGCCATTGTCATTCATAAAGCTGGGCCTACCTTTATTAAATATGAAGCTACAAGTGCCTCCATTAAAGTTCTCTGTGCTCCTTCTAAGGTACTATAAGCTCCAACCATCATAGATAATGCTTCCTGAATAGCAAGTCGAGTCTCAGGTTCTTCCTGTAAAGACAGTAAAAATGGTGTTTCCCTTCCTGCTGTCTTTCAGCAAAGTATCCATGAAGAAGTGTATACTTAATGTTTCCCTACCTTACATAGGGCTTCAAAAAGCTGCTGCACAAGAGCTATATCCTTAGTGAATAAATGGGGCATTCGACTGTAAGAGAATATAAGAATAACATTATCATAAATTTCCATGGAATGAAAAGGAGAGAAAAGAAACCATATAGAAACATTCCTCACTCACACTTTCACAACACTGAATACAATGTCAATATCATTAGCTTACTTTCTCCAGGAGCCAAATATTTTTTAAAGTGATTATTTAACTTTTCAATTATATAATCCTTCACTAACATATGTTTTCTAGGTATTCCTTCTATAATATTCCATATATTCAGATAAAATTCCTGAGTTTAATGTGAAGAGATAATAAATTACAAATTAAATGAAAAGCTGTATGTACCAGTAAGAAGTTTTGCTACTTTTTGCTAACAGACATTAGGACAGTTTGTGACAATCCTGTGCTGTAAATTGATCTTGGGTGACTTTCTTCTGAACCCTAAAGCTTCTTTCCCTTTACATCAAAGAAGAGCACTAGATAGCCTGTGTGTGGAGCCAAAGCAACATATGGGACCACTGAAAACATTTCATCTCTTTTTCCTCCTCCCGTATGAAGTGAAGATGATACCAGAAGGAATTGAAATGAAGAAATCATATTGAGCAGAGGGAAATAGATATATCTTTGAAAACAGGCTTATTCATGTTCATAATATAAGTAATACCAACTAACATAAGATTTAGTAATAAGAAGTAACAAGAACACTTAAAGTTAATCGAATGCCTATATTGTAATCTATTATGCAACCATAGTGGTAACCTATTTTGACACAATTAAGTTTAAAATCTAATTTCAAGACTAAATTTAAGATTGTATTTTCAAATGTAAACTTAAATGACTCATATCTTTTCTAAAAAGAAGACGTTAGCTTATTGTCAGAAAATACATCTTCTGTTGGAATCATAGCAAATTATTCTCCATCCATTAATACCAGATACATTTTTCTCACTTTCCAACAGATTATCTCTCACAGAAAAAAGCAAAAAAGAAAAAAAAAATTACTCGCCTGGAAAGCTTTCCAACAGCTGAATATGCCATTGACAGTAGTTTAGGGTCCTTGAAATTTAAAAAAGGAACAAAAAAAAATCACACACACAAAAAAGCAATAAACAGCAAACCCTTTTGCCACAATGACATGTGTTATTTTACTTCTTAATCACTGTCTCCTACATAATACTGCCATCAAAACAATAAAAAAAATCCAAGCCCAGAGCAGAAGAGAATATAAACAAAATCTTGCATCCTCAACTCACTCCCAAAACAATGATCACACATGAATGATTTCTCTTATCTGGCACTAGTTTCAAGGTATTTTCAATACCATGTATCCTGCCAACAGCCAAATTAATTTCCAATACACATGACTTATTGGGAAATTTATCCCTGCTCTTGCTAACAAACTATTATCTTCCCTCCTACAACAAAACTGTAATAAGCACAAGTACAATTTTCTAAACACCTATAATAAAATAAATGGCTTCTTTTCACTTCTTATATCATAACAAATTAATGAGATCAGAGTTATTATGGAAATTAGTTGCCTCCACCTAAGATATAGATAGAGCTTTACAGTGTCACAATAACTGAGACTCAGCATTACTCAGAACACAGTAAAAGTCCTGTAAGATAAATTTTGTTCTTTTAAGCTAGAATTCAGCGTTCAATATCTGAACACCCACTTACTGACACATCTGTTGGGAAGGTTTGTAAATGATACTTGGAAGTAAGATTAGGTTCTATGTTTTATCTGGACTGAGACAGGCATGTCCAACTTGCTAACATGATTGCCACCTAAACTGTGCAACTGAGTTACAAGAAGACGGAAGAAAGAAAACGAGAACAGAGGGAGGGAGAGAAAGAGGGGAAAAACACACACACACACACACACACGTTTTGAGTCAATTTATAATTTTGGGTTCCCCTACATATATACCTATCATAAACCACATGGTTGAATCCACCTAAAACTTATTTTGCAATATAGTTTCTCTCCAAAAGTCTCAAAGCATTTTTATTTCTACCAGTCATTACAAAGTACCTGATTATCTCATAATCTATGCCATAAAATATTAAAATGTATTAGACTCTAAAGGAAAACAATGGCCAAGTAGGAGTGTGGCACACCTTTAATCTCAGCATTTCGGTGGCAGAGGCAGGCAGATCTCCGAGTTGAAGGCCAGCCAGGTCTACAAGCAAGTTCCAGAACAGCCAAAGTTCAAAAACAACATAAAAAATTTACTACGCTTTAAAAAACAGGCAAGTATTACTCAATGGAAGAAAAAAGCTAGATACAAAATTGTGTAAACAAGTCAACAATTTTCATCTGTAATATCTAACTAATGTGTCCTGCCTATGCAAAACAACTTTTCTAACTCATTTCATTTTCAGAATAATATAATAAGGTAATTTATCCTTTTTTTTTCTGACAAACAAGAGTCCAAATAACTTGAGTAGCTCATCAAAAATAGACCTAGGATGCAAACTCAACTCTAGCTTTAGATATTTATCTCCCTGTATTACAAAGATTCAATGTTAGCTAGACTTAATACTTTATCTATTTAGCATATTCTCAAGATATATAAGATACAGAGAAAAAATATAGCAAAGAAAATCGATACTGAAAATATACAATCCAAGAAATCCTACCACTTAGTTTACAGAATCAAAAGTTTACTGAATGTATGTATATTTTGATAAAATTGTAAATTAGTAAAATCTGAGTCCCTTAAGAATTAACACTATTTCCTACTATAAGTCAACTCTAAATAGTTCCATATAGAAATAAAACATAAAATTAATTTAATTTCAATTTTACATAGGACATGCATGTATCATAAAATATATTCACTTCCATAAATGACTTATGGTGATAACATCCTAAGGATGTTATCGGTTTTAACAACTATTCTTTAAAAGGCAAAAAAATGTAACAGTATATAAAATTGTCACTTCAAATAAAAGTGTTAAGAAACAAAGGTCAATGCCAAACATTAACTGTATCAATGGATGGGCCTGGAAGATTTATTACATTAAATACTTTATGAAATGCTAAAATTTAAAACAAGTCACTTACCTCTTCATATTCATTTATTAGCTTAGTGAGACCATTCAAAAGCATAGGACCTAGTGGTTTAATCTTGATTTCTGGGCAACTTGAAACAAAAACAAAAAACATCAAGATATCCTTTCAGAAGATCATTTAAAATATTAGCAATAAATGAAGCTACACAATATTTAAGAAGTGAATCTTTCTAGAGACTAGATAAATGACTCAACAGTAAAAGCTTATAGTGCTGGCTTCCACAGAACCCAAGTGTTATGCTCAGCACCTACACTGGGCAATTTACAAGCTATTCACAAGCTACCTCCAGCTCCAGGAGATTCAACAATTTCTTCTGGACTCTGCAGGATCCGTCACACACATACACATGCCCACACAGACATATCCGTATACACATCATTTTAAAACGATAAAAATATATCTAAAAGAATAGAATCCCTCTAACATAGACAAAAATTGCATTTTGGGAAAAATAGAAGAAAAATACCTAAAACTTGATTACTCTAATATCTGAAGACTTAAATAGCTTTAAAAATAAAATAAAACTTACGTTATACAAATGTGATGTACAAATTGCAGGGACAGTGTTCTTAACTTTGAGTTTGTATTTGTACCAAAAAGTCCATCATATACCACCTATGTAAAATGAACAAAGTCAAAGATACCAATTAACAAATAACAATCTGGCATTTTCAAATAGCAGTCAAGATTCAATAACAAGCCTCTGCACTACAATGGTAATGCAGAGCATGGGCTCCTCAAAACTAATGTAATTTCTATATTGAACATACTAGCTGACCAATTTTAAAAGCTAAAATATTATTTATATATCCAACAATATTCTACAATATACCTTCATTTACTACCACCAAAAGAAAATCAAGCCATGGCCGAGAGGTAAAACTCCCCTGTGCTAATAGACAGAAAAGCACACAACTAGGTCAAAGGACAAGACCTTGGAGTCAGTTCTCATTCTATTATGTGGGGTTCTAAGGATCAAACTTGGGTTTCTTGGGTGTGATAGCAAGCTCCTTTACCTAATAAGCCATGTTATTTGCCCTGTCTTTCTTTTGTTTGTTCTTTCTAACAAATTTTTAATAATACCTCCCTCATAGCAATATTCCAAAGACTAAATTAATGGGTGAGGTTTAGAGTACAGAAGCTGGTACTCTTATTATGTTCTCAATAAATGGTGAATAGTTAAGTGTTTCCCTTCTGGACCCACCTCTTGCCATCCTTTTTCCCACATCTTGCATGTGAAGAAAAGCTCCTTAAATACAGTTTTCATGGCAAGGTCTCTCTCATGCTGCTGCTTCTACCCATACCCAGCACAGACTCCCCTCTCCCATGCCACTGTAACTAAAGTGTTCCAGATCCCACCTCTCTTTCCACTGAACACACTTTTCCTTGTGCTTTCACTATCTGATGGGCACTGGCTTTTATTGCAGCACCTCTCCAGTCTATGGCTTGGTGTTTACGTGTCCATTTCATCCTTCTAGGTGACAAAGGCCTTGATTTCCCATATCTAGAATAGACACCTTAACATTACAATAATTTCACATCTGTCTAGTTTCCATAGACAGGAGAAATTCCCACAGACCATCTTATATACCAGTCTCCAAGCACCATTTCCTAGGTAGTGTTCTGATGATTCTGATTCAGAAGATGGTATACAATATACATAAGCAACTGCCAGAAGTTTTGGATCAAATATTCATCTATCTCATAGGGTTTAAATGATATTTTATAATAATTTTGTGTTTTGAAAATAAGTCCAGCTTTGAGTGTTCTCAAAACTCACTGCCTATCTTCCGTATGATTGTTTTTTCCTTATATTCCCATTTCTAATAACAGGATCACCACTCTACTAAACAGTTTATACTGCCCCATCAGTCACATAGTCCTTCAAGCTGCTATGCAGATGGGTTTCCTCTTCCCTGATACACCTTGAATAGGCATATGATATTCTACCTCCATTTTGAACAGGAAAAAAAACATCTAACAATTGCATAGCATATGTGGATCATAAACTTTTTTCTTTTCATAAAACATCAGCATTCCAATTAATCCTTTTATCATCTCACCATGTTATGATTAATGATTTTTAAAACATCAGGTCCAAAAATAGTCTAACACTGGATTATATTTTTATCATTTCATTTTTTTATTTTTTGATACTTATTTATTGGTGGCAGGGGCATTCCATGGCATGTGTGTGGAAAATCAGAGGGCAACTTGAAAGAATCAGATCTCTTCTTCCACAATGTGGGTTCCAAGGACTGAGCCAAGATTGTAAGGCATGACAAGCACCTTTATACAGTGACACCTTGACATCTTAATGTGAAAAACTTCTATAATAAATTCAGTAAAGTTATGACTATCTTATCTAATACAACACTTAAAAATATCTCTTGCAGAAGTAGCATAATAGCAATTATAGAACCAGATACTCACTGCTGATAAACCCAAAGTTATCATTAAGTACAGATAAGTAGTTTTAAGAACAGTATAAACATGATTTTAGGTGTAAGAATAATCTTTTTTTTTTTTTAAGGTTTTTTGAGACAGAGTTTCTCTGTGGAGCCCCGGCTATCCTGGAACTCACTCTGTAGACCAGGTTGGCCTCGAACTCAGAAATCCGCCTGCCTCTGCCTCCCAAGTGCTGGGACTAAAGGCGTGCGCCACCACTGCCCGGCAAGAATAATCTTTTAATAGGTATTTTATATACATATGAATGTATATATATATAAAGGAAAACCTAGGGGGTATTTTTTTTTTAAATGGACAGGGTCTTACACTGTAAATTCTGGCTACTCTTGAGCTCATGGCAATCTTGCTTCAGACTCAGACATGCTGAAATTACAGGTGTGAACTACTAGACCTACTTGGTATCTTTGATACTAATATTTAATATTGGTATTTGATGCGTGTTTCACAGGACTCAGAGATCTACTTTTTTATATTTTAACACCATTTACACAGTAAATGAAGTCCAACCACACACTTGTAAAATGTCTTAATGTTGACCTCTTCTGTGATGCTTGTTCTGAATGACGACATGTAGTTAAGAAAACTAACTCCCCTAAATGATCTTGTCTCCTGGTAAACTCTATGTGGTATGGAGCAGCAGAGTAATAGCTAACTCTGTGGGTTCTTCCTTGTTCCCTAGTGGAAAGTACAAGTTTTTTGCAAACTTGTAAGATCAATCATTTGTTCCTGTATCATAGTCTACTGATAGGAAACTTTAATAGTAAGTTTTTCTCTTATTTACATATGCACTCACCATGCATCAGTGCCCTCTCTACCCACCCACAAAATAAATAAACATAAAAACTTTAAAATACCTAAAAAAAAAAAAATCTGAGGCTTAATATGAGAAGACATGGAGGAACGGACAAGACTGTTGTGAGGCTCCTGCACTCCTGGTTCCCAGTATCACACAGTAGGCCAAACTGATGATCTGCAGGAACCAGTTGAGGCTCAGCGAACAGATGAGACATGCCACCACTGGGCACAGCTGGAGGAAGGGGGTTGGTTCTCTTGCCCTCACTGTCAACCCTGCAGCCACCATGAAGGATCTGCAACGGTCCAAACCCAAGCCCAAGACAGAGTGCTGCCCTGATGCACAAAGAAGTCAGCAGAGCCCACAATATCTCCAGAATAACTGAAAAAAGGCAGGACCCATGGCAAGATGCTTTTAAAAAAAATCATGAAATTGGAAGAAAAGATCATGGAGAATCTAACAAGGAAAAAGGCATTATTGAAAAGGGCCCACCACTACCTCTTGCCATGATGGAAGGAAAGTGCAGACCACAGTGCTACCCACAGGCTGAAAGCACAAGGTCATGTCTGGTGAGCTGTGGGGGCAGCTGACACCAAAGGCAGGGGGGTGGCTGTGCAGTAGCCTGGAGCTTGCTCAGATCCTGTCCCCAGACTCCCTGAATAGCAGTAAGAACACCCTGACTCTGGGGTACAAAAGGATATCCAAGACAAGTTTCTCTGACAATCTGGTATTTACTGTGTTTTAGAAACCAGAAATGTTAAACCAGACCAATGCACTGAGTATTTACATGTAAAACTGTTTAGAAAAAATATATACATTGTGTGATACACTACAGTTTGCAATGTCACTTAAACAAATATGCACAGGAGAGATGGGAAAGAACAGAGTGTTCTCGGGGAGAGAGGCAGAACCAGAAATGCAACAGCAGTGACAGGTGTGGAAGAAGGCTGCAATGGACAGGAGAGCATGTCACTACTAAGGTAGGCAGAGTGGTGTGCAGCAGTCTGGAGTTCGCCAAGGCTCTGCTCAGGAACATGCATGATCACCCTGGCTCTAAACAACAACAGGATATCTGAGATGCAGAATAGTTCATTTTCTGGACTAGGACTTCTTGAAAGACCATCCAAGTCTATGCTGCCTCTGGAGGCCACGCTGGTATCTAAGATCTGGGCTACACTTGAGAGAAAGTTGGTGGTATCCCTGGTCCTTGCTGCCATTCCAAGCCTTGTCAATGCCTGAGGTCCATGTGGATGCCCACGGACTGTGCTGCCACCTGGGGCCATGTTGATATCTGTGGTTCTGCTGTTAGGGGCCAAAAGAGGCATGCGTGTTGCCACTGAACCATGCTGATATGTGTGGCCTGTGCTACTGCATGTTGATATCTATCTATGGCCCATGCTGCCACCGAAGGCCATGTTGATGTCCATGGTCCATGCTGCAGCCAGAGGGCATGTTGATGTCCCTGTCTGTGTTGCCAGTAAGGCCCATGATGGCAACCCTGGTCAGAAACCATGTGGAAGGTCTAAGATTCATGTCGCATCTGACTATAAAGGGCAAGGAAGCTTCTTTTGCAGTGGTATAAATGACTTCAGATTCAGTTGAGAATGAGACACAGGAGGCTTCTGTGACCTCTCACCCTCACCTCACCCCCATCCCCAAAAAAACCCAGTTATTGAAAAAGTCATTGAAGAGGACTCTTAAATTGTGATAGAGACTCTGAGGTCGATCTGTAGACCAGGCTGGCCTCAAACTCACAGAGATATGCCTGCCTCTGGCTCCCAAGTGCTGGGATTAAAGGCATGTACCACCAACCTCTGGCCTAAGTTTGGTTTCTTATGTATGGTGCTGAGCAATCACAGAAAACTAGTCTGGATGAAGTTAGCATCATATTCAAAGTACGTTTTTATAAAATAATTTATACAGCTACAATTAGGATAGAAATAAAATTGTTAGTGCGGTTATGTATATCAGCCTACTTCCTGAGTATCCACCAATTCTATTTTCTTTTTCAGTAAGTACAGCTATTTGTGCAAACTATTTTTCCCCACAAGATAATAGAGATTACCTGAATGTTAGCTGGGAACGTTTCAGCAGCTTGTCTAGAACGCAGGAGGTGAGGAACAATCTTTAACTTCACTCTGGTACTGACTGGGTCTCTTTTCAGCTCTGGCTTTAGAACTGCTCCCTGAGAAAATATGTATGGTTATAATAGCATTTTAAAATTATCTGTGGCTTTTAACTCTTTAAAGGTACTTTAGATTCCTAGGTCCTGAAGAGAAGGCCTAGTAGTTTAAAAGTACTTGTTACTCTTGCCAGAGGAACTGGGCTTGATTCCCAAGGCCCAAATGGTGGCTTACAAACAGCCATAACTTCAGTTTCAGAGAATTCAGTGACTTCTCCTAGCCTCTGTGGAAAACATATGTCCACGTGGTAAACACACAATACATACAGGCAAAATACTCATACACATAAAACAATATTTTTTTTAAAATTGCTTTAATTACTGAAGATTCTGAAAGCTCTTATCAGTATCACCTACTAGCAATTGTTACATTAAATATTAAAGGTGAGAAAGCTGAAACATTAATAAATATATTTTAGTAACTAGTATTTTTCTTTTAAAAAATGCACTGAAGAACAGAATCATTTTATATTTTTTGGAAGCATCTAGAAAAGAGCTGGGTTTTTACATACTCTGTATTAAATTGCTGTGATAGCTGTTTTGCTTGATGGGATAATTCCTAACTTGCACAACAAACACATGGTGAGAAAATAGGGATGATTTTTGTCCATTTTTAAAGTAACTGTAGATCCTTGATTCTAAACCAAAACTTAATAATGGTTTCTTAAAGCCTAATTTGAATCTGAAGGTTAAGCCAAATTGGTGAGCTCTTGCAGATGCTGTTAAATAAATTCCCACTGTCGGTCTTACAGTTTGGATGGGGTCCTTAGGTTGTACGAATGCTTTTGTAATATCACTGATTATCTGGAAAATACTGTCTTACTGAGTTAAACAAACATATCAATATAAAATACTCTCAGTACATATTTTTAAAAATATTTCTTGCAACCCTTCAGAAAATATATTGCTAAGTTACTAAGTCAATGAGTTCAAATTTCCTACAATTCTAATATTTCCTTTTAAGTTCAACTTTTAACATTCCAAAAAGGACGGGGGGGGGGGGAGTCACTCCAGTTTTCATCAATATGTTCTTTATTTTGTTTTGAGAGAAAAGATCTGTCAAAATATGAGTCACACTATACATAGCTTATGTACCTATTCTTCAAGTAAAATAATTTCTAATGCTTCATGAAGATATTAAGATAAAACACAATTATTCTACCCCCACTCTCCCCTCTCCCTTTCTGACCCTCACTCTCCCTCCTCTTCCCTTTGTGTCCTCCTCTACCTCTCCCATGTTATACCTCTCCCTCTCTCTTCCTCTCCTTCTTCCTCCATAAGTATATGGCACGGCTTTGATTTGATCTGTGTGGTATGAACCCACACAATATATACCCAATATATACCCACCATTACTCCTATGACATCAATGTAAATATCAACTTAAAAAAAAAACTGACAAATAATCTCTTGCCTTTACAGATCCTCTAAAAAGTTCTTTGTGACTCCAAAGAGGTCAACAGACTGTACTCTATCCAATTCTTTCATTTTCTACACAAAGAATATGAGGCAGAGAGGAGTTGAATCATTAGCCAAATCTCTCTTCCTAACACATTTGTTTGTATACACACAACGCTACAATCTAGGGGTCTCAATTCATTGTTCTGCTAAATCAATTTAATCTAACTAGAACTATTAACTCTTACTTATGATCTTAAAAGAAAGCAACCAAATACACAAATCACACTATATGTTTAGACTGGCACAGTGAGAAGAACTTATTAAGCAATGATCTTACTTTGAGGCTACAAAAACAACCTTTTGTTCTAGATTCTAAACCAGGAAATAGTAAACTATAGCTCATAGATCACACATGGCCCATCATTTATTTCAACAAGGACTAAGACTTTAAAAACTGTTTTTATATTTTTAAGTGGAAAAAAATTAAAGAAATAATTTTTGTAGCCCATGAAAATTATATGACATTCAGGTTATCAGTATTTACATTTTTACTGAAATATAACCATATCCATTCAATTATATATTGCCTATTGTTTCTTTCATGTTATAGAAATTGAGTAGTTATAGCCTCAGAGACTTTAATGTCTCAAATGTCCAAAATAATTGCAGAAAGCTTGTGGATCCCTCATCTAGATAATGTACTATCATTATTTATGCATCTACATTGAAAACACCAGCTCTGTTAAACTCGCCTTTCAAGAGTTTAATTCATACAGACAAACATGGCTTAAAACTAGTAATTCAAAAGACATGGATTCAGCTTACTAAACTAGGGGAAAAATACAGTTCATGTCAATACAATGTTTTTTATGCTAATGTGAGACTAAATCAAAGCAACTTACCTCTTTTGTTTTCAGTGGTATATCCCCAAGGTATACCTTGTACATTTTATTAATGATGGCAGGATTATTCCAGTCAATTAAGCTATGGAAGATTTCAATAGAGATGGTTAAAATTATTTTTGTTCCCATTTCAATGATTAAAAAAAAAACCCTAATATTTGCCATCAAAGAAAAAATGTCAGAAACACACAAATTGAATTGACAACTTATACTGTGGAAGAGAAGAAATGAAAGTGACTACTATCAAACTTAGCTTTAAAAACTACAGATCACTCATCCAGTTCTTCCTTTTGGCAGATTACTGCAGCAATGACCCAACTTGGTACCACAGGTGTGGGGTAAAAACTGGACAAAGTTCCCACACAGGTGGGTCAGGGCCAACACCATGGAGTAACACAGCAGAGCAGACATAGACTGCACTTGTTCCAAAAGCCCTCAGGTCAGTGGTTGATGTTTCTTTTTAACCATTCAGAGTTTTAAAATGATAAACAAAATGGTTTTAAGCTTCAAATACTTACACCCTAGGAAATTTGGAAGCTATTGTATTTCTCCAATCTTGTTATTTGATTCCTGGCATCATGCAATCCCTCATCTAGCCTAATAGCTTCAATATCTAAATCCCAGAAGTCACAATGCCATTTGTCACAGAGATGCATCCCTATCTGGACTCTATAAAGAAAAGATGAGTTGAAATATAGAGATTGGATAAAAAATATCTATCCCACCACCATCACCACCACAGTGAGACTCATTCAATCATTTTACAAGGCTAATAATACTAAGATCTTTCATTTCACTTGACTGCTGAGGTTCTCCCATGCTATCTTCTCTCTGATTCTTAACACTTGTTCTGCTTTCCACTTATGCTGTCTTTGTGTAAAAACAGTGTTATGCTGCTCAACTGCTTCTCTGATCCATCTCTTTCATCATCCACTGAGGAAAATTTTCACTGTTCCTCTTATTTTGATTTATCATGCTTTTTTAAGGTTTACTTTTCTATCTTTTTTTTTTTTGGTTAACCTTTTATTTGTTTGTTTTTTTCAGACAGGGTCTCTCTGTGTGGCTCTGGCTATCCTAGACTCATTTTCTAGACCAGGCCGTCCTTAAACTTTGCCTGCCTCTGCCTCTCCAGTGTTTGGATTACAGGCCTGTGCTACCATCACCTGTCACTAAGTCTTTTCAGTATGACAGCCACTGACTGTGGTGATATCTTTTTCCAGATACTAACAGCTTGACACTACAGCTAGGAGGTAGAAAAAGAACAATAGAAACAATACCTGTAGAGATTACTTTGAGCTGTTTTTTTCCCCCACAAAATGTTACCTATGTGTTCTCCCAACAAAATTTTATAACCTTAATGTAATTTTATGGTATATATATTTTTTATCATAAAAGCAAAATTAATTGATATACTTAAGAATTATATTTAGGCTTCCAATAACAAAATCTACAATATGGTACAAAAATGAGACCAAAATGAGACCAGTTCAAACTTAAAAATTTTGAAGAACTTTTTTTTAGTGCTCATTAAAACTTCTTAAACACAGATTAAAATTCATTCCCTTAAACGAATGCCAGAAATACTCTAAGTTATAAGCAATAAGAAAAAATTGAGACTTGAAAGAATGTTAGGAAAAAACAAATGTACTTCAATTCTCTTAATCTAGTCTAGCAAAGTTAAGCCTGGCTCTCAAATTCAAGATTTGCCCCTCTCCTTAAACTGTGGGTCAAGACTCCTATGTGGGCATCACATTACTAAATATGGGGTCATAACAAATTTTGAGTAGTAAAGTTCCTAAACATGGAACAACCAAAAATTTACTCAAAAATCAAATGTAATAAATCTAGTGTTTCTGACAGTGCTCGCATGTGTTGCATCAGGTAGCTTCCCTGCACCCTTGGTTCTGAATGCTTAACATGGAAATTTTGCACTGAATTTGCTATCAGTCCACACTACACAAGCATGACTGAAACCGAGTAAGATAGCACAGGTTATAAATTTCACTGTTCCAACTGTATACTCTATCTCTAATAGAAACTGAGTTAAACACAGAAAATAAAACTTCTATATTTTCCTACCATCATTCCATAGTATGTAAATATCAAATGAGTCTACCTTTGAATTGTATCATGTTGGAATATTTGATTAAAACTTGCTGAGTTGATGACTTGACTTGAGTTTAACTTAAAAAAAAAATCATTGCAAGGGTTTTGGCATAGGATTAGGACAGAATCTCCAATAATTTCTAGATGCCTTAAACTTCCTTCTGCCATTTTGTACTGAGTAGGTAAAGCAAGAGTTCTTAGCAGTAACCATTATAAAACCAAACTAGCAGTCAACCCTAAAGCATGTTAAAGATGTTCTGTCTTAAAGTATCAACTATTCAGCCAAGATATAATTCTATGTGTAAATTGGAACAAGCCTATCCATCTTATTAATAAAAAAATTGATTTCCTCATAAATAAATGGAAAAACTGTATGTATAGTAAAATTATTTTAAATGAGTTTATGATTCTTACCAGCAAATGTTTGCTCTCCAAACCTATTTCATACAATATAGATCCACGTTCACATAAAAGAAATTCTCAAACAAAAAGGATCACAAACAAAAGGATCACTTAAAAAGTTCAAGAAACCCTGCTATATGCCACATCACATGCTTTCAGTGGAAGCTACTCCCACCACTGCTATTATCTCCCCAAACACTGCAACAGAACAAACTAAGGGTCATCAAGTTAATTTCCTTATTTTATTATACCTCCTTGCACTTTCTTCTTAGAGGAAGCAAAGTAAAATACATATAATATTTATAAAGTTTTATGGCATTTTCACTATGTCTCTGTCCTATAAAATGTTAATTTAACAAATTATACGCATTCAACCTTCTGGATATGGAACGACATACTTGTAATCTTCAGTGGGCAGAGGCCACACAGGGAGAAAGCCTAAGGACAGACAAAGCTACATAACAAAGCCATCTCAAAATAAACCAGTTACTAAAATCTCATGATTTAAAATTTAAATATGCCGGGCAGTGGTAGCGCACGCCTTTAATCCCAGCACTTGGGAGGCAGATGCAGGCGGATTTCTGAGTTCAAGGCCAGCCTGGTCTACAGAGTGAGTTCCAGGACAGCCAGGGCTATACAGAGAAACCCTGTCTCGAAAAAGAAAAAAACAAAACAAAAAAATTTAAATATATATACAGGATCTCACTATGTAGCAAAAGCTAACTTTGAAGTATGATCTTCCTGCTCCTATCTCCCAAGTGCTGAATCATGTGACATGAGGTACTCAGCTTATGAATAATAGCATGAGCCACTACTGCCTGGCTTGATTTTACTTTTTAACCAAATAAGATTCATTTTTATGTTATTCTTCAATCTATGTATGTTTAAATTTTAGAATCAGACTGACAAATCACTTTGTATTCTGCTTTATTTACTATTACTTAAAAAGCAATTTATATGTTGCTACATATAAATGGATTTTTATAATTTTGAAAGACGGACAATAGTCTATCTAGTAATTTACCCCTATTGTGGAAATTCACTGTGTTTTTATTTTTCAATAACTATAGGACATGATATAATGACTAAAGTTATAACATTTCTAAATATATTTTTCTTCTTTTGAATGATGTTAGAAGATGAATTCCCAGTTTACAGTATGTGTGTGTGTGTGTGTGTGTGTGCTCACTGCTCAAATAGGACATAAGATACAGTATTTTTGCAGAAACTTAAATGGATTTACCAACAGCTATATACCTGTATTTACCCATAGATACAAACTACTCATTTTCCATTGATTTTTATTTCATACTCAGCGAGTATTTCTTTAAGTCAATCTACTATTTGTATCTCTTTTCAACGTAGATATAAATTTTACTCAACAATTCTTTCCATAAACCTGGCTTGTACTAACAACCATAAAACATACGCATTCATTATTAAAAAAGATCTTAACTGGTTTCAGACAGAAGAAAAAGCAAAAAAAAAGGTCTATCATTTTCAACATTAACTTTCAGTTTATTTGCCTAGTGGAAAATTTTATTTCTTATGATGGCATTCCTAACCAATTTCAGCTTTGAAATACATTTTCAAATAGTTTTTGGGGCTTTTTTTTTTTTGGACACGAAATTTTGCTCTTTGGTAAACTTTACTAACTTACCAACTAAGAATCTGACCTAGTTTCGTAAGCTGAATACATTATTTCATAAAACCCTGCAAAGGTTTAAGAACTCTGACCTTTTCATTTTGAAAGCTTAACAAGGAATTAATTACCTCTGCTTGCTTTTCAACTCCAGGTCTGCTGCTGTTGCCACACTATGGCGTGTGTCACTAGAAGCAATCACCAGGTGGAGAACAGCTTCAAGTTCAGGCACCTGTTCAGCTTCTATAAATTTCACTATACCCAATTTGCACTGTAGATGAGTGAAGGGAAGGAGAAAAAAGGGTCAGGGAAACCAAGAGCACTCACTAAAACTGTAGTTTCACATATCAACATGGTCGTAAGCCATGGATTAATATAACAGTAGAGCTCCTACTTAGGTTTATAATGTGCCAGACACTACACTAAATATCCTAACTATTCACAATTTCATTTAACCCTCACAATCTATGAGGTAGGTATTATTACAAACATTTTTTTGATGAAACTAAGGCAAGCCTTAAGATATTAAGATACACAACAAATGATGAAGGTAGGCTTCAAAGACAAGTCTCTGACAACAAAACGACAAGAATCTCCTCCCTACTAGGTCATACAACCTTCCTAGACTGGTGAGGACTTAACATCCCTGTCTACATCCTCCAGGTAAGAAGTGATACATTACAAACAAGTGTTTGATGGATACTTGTGAGAAAAAAAAATTTGAACAGCTCACATTTCCCAGTTTTACTCCACTGTTAACATATACATTTTTGCCCTCTATTTTGAGACTAAAAATAAAGAATATGATTTCTAACCCACTCTAGTCAATCCAAGTGCAACTCAATCCAAGAGTAATGTTTAACCTAAGATGCTCAATGAAGCACAATAGATTCTAAGAGCTTCTCAAAATGTAAAAGAGCTATAAACTTTGCTACCAATCATTCTTGGACAAATACACCTGAAAAGCAAAACTTTATCCTCACTTTAAAAACCAGTTGCATAGTAATTCTCAGATATATGAATTAGGGATGATAAAATATACAATTATTAAATGAGAAAGAAATTTTTAAAAATGAAAAAGAATGCCAATAAAAAAGTGTAGCTGATGACAAAAAAGCCTACTCAGCATACATAACTTCATTACAATAAGAGATACAGTTTGAAAAGAGGAGGAGTCATTAACGTAAACTGCAAAGGGGATGGCTATAAAAGTCAAATACACAATACGTAATGAAAATGTACTAAAAATGATAAGTCTCATCAACAAAAGACAAGTTAAAACATAATAGATAATTAAATTTTATACAAACAGTAAAGGGACAAATTTTTCTTTAATCTTCAAAAGACTATGTAGTAAAAAGACTAAACTATTATGTGGCAAATAATATGTATTATATAAAACTATTCACAGAGAGAGAGAGAGAGAGAGAGAGAGACAGAGACAGACAGACAGGAGGCAGAACTGGAGGCAGATTATTACACTGTTTCCTTGAAGTGCTGTGGATTGAACTCAGGACCCTAAGCCTGCCTGCTAGGCACTCTTATGACTGAGCATTCTTTTGAGAGGTTTTGTTGTTTGCAGAGGTGGGGGGTAGGGAGTGGGAGTGGTCTTTTCTTTTCTTTGAATCAAGGCCTCAAATGAACTATGTAACCAAGAATGACTTTGAACACCTTTAACTTCCCTGCCTTCACCTCCTGAGTGCTGGATTCCAAACATGCACCCCATCCCATGTCTTAGTCATGGTGTGCCAGGACTCAAACTCAACCATGGCTTTATGCATGCTAGATAAACTCTCTCATCGACTAAGCTACACATCCCACACTCCTCAATTCTATTCCTGACTACTTAAACTTTTACCTTTATAATCAGAAAAAAAATAAAAGAAAATTTTAATTGAAATAAGAAGGGATAATATTTAACCAGGTGTGATGGCACACCCCCTTTAAGCCCAACACTCAAAAAAAGGCAGAGGCAGGTGGATCTCTGAGTTTGAGGCCAGCCTGGTCTACAGAGAGAGTCCAGGATAGCCAAGGCTATACAGGGAAACTCTGTCTTGAAAAAAAAAGAGAGGGGGGGGAGACAGAGAAAGAGAGACAGAGAGAGAGACAAAAGAGAGAAAGTTGATTTACTTGGGAAAAAAAGTATTCAAAATTAACAAGTATTTGTTTTTAAAGCTAAACTATTCATTTCAGCACCAGATTATGAAACAGACAAAACATATACAGAACCCTTTAAATTCAGCAAACAAGGACCAACTTAAGACTATAAATGAACAATAGCAATAACTAGTACTCTCCAGTATATCCAGCTTTAAGCCTCATAGAGGACTAGGTTCAGAGTCTAGTAACAGAAAGGAGACCCTGGTGAATCTCAAAACTTCCATACCTTTTAGAAAAGGAGCTTAATTTGGCTACCTCATTAGCTGCTGTGAGGATTAAATGAGATAGTGTACTCAAAGTACCCAGCATAGTGCCTGCCAAAGGTCACACTCATTAGTTTCTAGACTCACACTATGGCTTAAGGGGGTTGAGGGGAGATAAAAGGTGTATAAGCATGAAGTAAATCGAATCAATTTAACCCTCATTGAATATAACACTCCAAATTTGGAGTGGCAAGAATGCCCAACTTGCTTCTTTTTCCCTCTCCTGAAAACATTTTTGTCAATGATCACTTACATTCCCAAAAAGAAAAGGATCAAATCATTGAGACTGCTATGGAGAAATAAAGGAAGGATTGGAAGACTAACCCATGTTGCTTGAATTCCAAAATAATTACATACTGATTTCTGTTCTTCCCTGAGGTGCCTGATGACAGACACAGGGAGGCACCTTCTCTGTAGAGCACCAGTCATTTTTAAAAGCTGCTCAGAGAACATCTGTGTCCTGTTTAAATCCAGAATAAAATTCTTAATGCCAATTTTAAAACCCCAAGAAGAAATATAAAAGGGAGTCATGCTTTTCCCCACATTGTCACTTGTGAAGTATAGAGGTTCCTCACTTTACACAAAATGTACAGCCCTAAAAAATTGAATAATGAAAGATAAATTGTATTTTTAACTGCATCAAAGAAGCTACATAATTAAGACCTATAGTTTTAAATTAAAATGACAGAAAACTAAATTTGCTCAATATAAAATGGGTTGTGCATAGTACTTGAAAGATGTGAACAATGTTAGAAAGACATACAATCATTTCCCACTCCGCCCATCCCTAGGGCTTTAACAAGTAAATGACAGAGGAAAAGAACATTTTACATAGTTTGCTCCTTTCCACCATATTCTTTAGAGAACCTGAATGCACAGGAATTACACTCAACATGCTTCCATGAACTTCATAGGGGCAAGTGTTCAGGGCCAATAACTCGTATAAAAAGCAAACTGGGTGATACCTGTTCCAACTGTTCAGGTGTCCATGGGTTATCACCAATAACTCGTTTAGCTGCATAAAAGCTCATTCCTGGGGGAGGCTGTGGGATTCCAGAACCTCCCCCACTGTTTGAAGAAGAACCCTGTGATGAAGATGAATTTTGGCGACTCTGGGATTCATTTAACACATATCTGAAAAGGAAATAAAACTTTAACTCATAAAAACAAGTGAATTTGTGTATATACACACATATACATAAAACAATCATACACCGTCCTTGTACCGTATTATGCTAGAGCTGTGAACCTTAACCTTTGGGTCGTGCCTCCTTTGGGAGTAAAATGACCCTCTCACAGGGTCCCCTAAGAGTATTGGAAAATACAGCTATTTACATTACAATTCATAACAGTAGCAAAATTACAGTTATAAAGTAGCAACAAAAGTCATGTCATGGTTGGGGGCCATCACAATATGAGGAACTAAGAGTCACTTCTAGCACACTGTGCTAGAACAACAACTAAAATAAAACTTTCTACATAAGAACACTTTTGTTATTATTTTGGTTTTGGAGACAGGGTTTCTCTAGGTAGCCTTGGCCATCCAGGAAATCACTCTGTAGACCAGGCTGGCCTCAAACTCAGAGATTGCCTCCTGCTAGGATTAACAGCATGCAGCAACACTGCTCAAACAACATAAAAAAATCTCAAAGGTATCTAGCTTCAGCAAATTAATCAGAAGAGCCCATCACTCAAGGCAGTTATAAATGAACTACAACATGTTTATGCCATTTCCAAGTACATATTATTGTCTGATAAGTTAGTACAGAATCACTACATTTTGAATTTTAATGACAAATACAGACATAAGCCTGTTGACCCCATAAGGATTATGGTTAGTATTGTTCTATGCTCCAAAGCTTTTACAGTTATTTCTCTTACTTTATAATTCACATTAGAAAACTCACTGAAGCCATTAACAAACTGCCTCCCATACAAGCACATAACATTCTAAAAGTTAAAACCAAAGTAAAAAGCATCAAAGAGAAAAAGTCAGGGCCTGGCAAGATGGCTCAATGGTTAAAGGCATTTGCCACACAAGACTGACAACTTGAGCTTAAGTCCTGAAACCCATTAAAGGTGAGAGATCCAATTCCAGAAAATTGTACTTGACCTCCACTCATACTCTGCACACATACAAAGAACAATAACAAGTTTTAAAAGTAGGAAAATTTGAAAAAAAATAAGAATTTTCTCATTATATATTCAAAGCTCTTTGTATGTATCTCCTTGCTATTGTTATATTTTTTTAGCTTGTAGAGTAGAAATAAGACCTCTAATGAATTTTTTATTCAATTAAAACTATTATTCCTCATAATCATAGTTATATTTGATATAAACATTAGTTGAAATCCCTTTGCCTCTCTACTGATATTATTCTATACTGATTAATCTAATCATAATAGATACTAAAATTCTCATTAGAACTAAAGAATTAGAAGCTTGGAAGTTGTGGTGATTTGAATGAGGTCCCAACTGCTAGCACTTCTGGGGGAGATTATATCCCCAAAGTCATTAAGGTGCAATTCTTCTGGAGGAAGTAAGTCACTGAGGGTGAGATGTGAGAGTTTATAGCCTCACTTCACTTCCAGTTCACTACCTCAGCTTCTTGTCTGCCGTGAAGGCCCTGAAAGATCAAGCTATTAAACTAGAGGAGCAGAAGGAGAGCAAACTGAAGAGAAAGAATCATACAGCCTGAACCCTCTTGTCTCTGCACTGGGAATAGATGATATGCAGCTCCATGCGCATGGTCCTCTATGTACATATACACTCAAGACCAGGGGAAAACCGAAGAAAAGTAGCAGTTTAGAAAACTATCTCTAAGCCGGGCAGTGGTGGAGCACACCTTTAATCCCAGTACTTGGGAGGCAGAGGCAGGTGGATTTCTGAGATCGAGCCCAGCCTGGTCTACAGAGTGAGTTCCAGGACAGCCAGGGCTACACAGAGAAACCCTGTCTCGAAAAACAAAACAAAAACAAAAACAAAAAAAATCAAAAAAAAAAAAGAAAAGAAAAGAAAACTATCTCTAGCAGCAAGTCCTAATCAGTACACTAGAGGCAGATCACAATCTAGAAATTAGGCCAGATTCAAAAGTCTGATAAATCACTGCAAGGGGCTGACAAACTATTAAGAGGAAGATATCAACAATGTGATAAAGAGACAAAGTACTACACAGGTGGTTCTTGGGGGTTATGAGGGACACAGAAAATTGAGCAAATATGTCTACACAGGTTAAGAAATGTCTGTCACAGACACCAAGTAGACATCAAGCCAGTAAGAGATATTTTCCAAGGTGACTTTGTTATTTTCTCTGTGGAGAAATATCCTAAAGTGAGAACTAACTGCATTACCTTAAAGGATAAGATGGGAAGTACTTGGAGGAGAGTATGAACCACTGACTGAATACATGTAATGATGGCTATTGAGAACCCATTCTTCTAAGATGTACTTTGAAAAATGAGGCATCTCTACAGCACTGTTTGAAGACATCAGAGGGATAAGCAAAGTTCAATGATATGTATGACTAAGTCACATTTTGTACACTAACTAAAGAAAGTGAATCAGAAAACAAAGCTATGAGAACAAAATTGCAGGAAGAGCCAAACAGATCTACAACTAAATGGTAGCAATGCAAGAAAGATTTCAAGGAAAACGGAAAAAGAAAAGCTGGATATGATTTCCTATGGGTACATGGAGCTAGGAGACTCAAGATTTACTTCAGCTGGGGACTGGGGAAGTGTAAAATCACAACAGCATTACTACATCTACACAGCCAATATGCAGTGGAGCTGAACTTTAGCATTTAGGACTGACGTGAATCCTCAGAGATGAATCCCAAGTAAGCTGAATCATTTAAACACATAATTTTCACAGAGTAAACTCTTGAAACAACACTGCTTGGCTCTCTTTATCACTTTTAACTCACCCATAAGGCATCAGAAGGACATCTAGCATAAAGTCCAAGAGCAGCTGCACAGTCTTTGGTTTCTCAGCAAGATTAAAAGGAGAAGCTGATTTTGATGATTCAGCCGGGTATTTCATGTGAAAAAGAGTTGGTATTAAAAGATGCATTAAGCTGAAAGAAAAATTATATTTATTGCAGCTACTTTATAAATCAATTTTTATACATGCAAATAAAAGATATGACAAAGAACAATTTTATCAGGAGCTATTCATTTCTGATACCAATCAGGAACAAAGCCTTAATTTAGGGAGTAGCCCTGATTTCCTAATCCCCAGCACTCAGGAGGCAGAAGCAGGTAGATTTCTGTGAGTTTGAGGCCAGCTTGATCTACAGGGTTGGTTCCAGGATAGGTAAGACTACACAAAGAAACCCTGACTCAAAAAATATAAAAATATAAATAAAAATAAAAGACTCCATTATTAAGCTGGGCATGGTGGCAGTACATGCCTTTAATCCCAGCACTCAAGAATTTGAGACCAGGCTGCCTAATAGAGCAAGTTCCATGACACAAAGAACTACACAGAGAAATTAAAAAAAAAAAAAAACCAAAACAAAAATAACAAATGAACAAAGATCTCAAAATATTAAGTGATAATTGGCATTTAGACAACATGGTTCATCACTTTAAAAATTTAGAAAAATGTATATAAAGTAGACATGATTTTACCAGAAGGTACTTCATATTACATTCTAGATAAAATTAAAGTTCAATATGCTCTTTCAATAAAAATTTGCTTCAATTATTAATTTGATTGTAAACACCTGTAGTCTTTTGTTCTAGGCTTGTGAGGCCCTGCATTTGATCCCCAAGACCATTATCAAACAACTGATTGACAAGTAAATCAGAACTGGAAATGTTCTAATTGACAGGTCTGAGATAAATATGTTTTTACTAAGCCCACAAACAAATGATGTCATATAAGGCCTTCATTTTTTCCAGTGCCTATATTAATAATACTCTATTGCTTCCAAAACTTGCTGAGAAATGTTTTATTCATCAAGACAGAAATGTTTTTTTTAATAATTTTTTTCAAATCATAATTCATTCACACAGGGGTTATAAACACAAAAGGCAGGACGTGGGGAAGGGGATGACACTGGAGTGTGGGTGTTCAGGGGAAATACAGATATCTTTCAGAACAGGGTATCGGCTGGGTGAAGGTTCAGGGGACAGGTCACTATAACTCTGCCTATGATTCACTTGTCCTTATCTAAGTTGGTATTGTCTGCCAAGGCTACCTATTTACAAGGTCTATGACTACTCAGGCTGGTAAATTTCCACAAAAGCTGCCTGCTTACAATAGCTCATAGCCATCTGTTTCAATGTTTTTCCAAAGAGACCCAAGACTTGGTGTTAGTATACATGTATGACAGGCCTATTGCTGATTTTAGGCCTATGGCTGATTTTAGGCCTTCAGTGTGTAATCAGGGATGCCCCTGACATCTCTTCCCCTCTCTAAGTATAGAACAACTGTGGCAATTCTAATCTTTCGAAGGCAGGGATAGAGGCCTGACCTCCAGTAATTGAAGGGGACCTTGTAATGGCTCCAGTCTCCCAAGACAGAAATGTTTTAATGAAAAATGTTTTTTAGTTATTTAATGCATACATGGGTATTTCACCTACATGCAAGTCTGAACACTACAAAGATAGCCTAGTGCCCAGAGCCAGAAAAGGGTGCTGGATCCCCTGGAACTGGAGTTAAATGGTTGTGAGCACTATGTGGGTGATAGGAATTGAACTTAGGTCAGCTGAAACAGCAGACAATACTCTTAACTACCGAGTAATCTCTCCAGATGAAATGAAAGAAAAGTCAATGAAAAAGATTTTTAATTTTAACATCACATAAACCAAACACTTTTAAAAAGACAACAAAAAATTGAAGCAGTTAAATTTAGAAAAATGTCATCAATCTCACACATTTTTGTGTTCATATAAAAAACTTTATAACGCTACTAATAAAACAGTAACTAAAATATCACAGAAAATTCAACTATCCTTCAAGTAAATAACCCCAAGCCTTTCCATTTGCCAAGTAAAGTCAAATGTGACCTGTATTTGAAAGGCAAAAGTTGTTGACTCTTACAAATGGGAAACCGGTAAGCAAGGAAGCCATACCTATCCTGCTGTGGCTGAGGTTTCCCTTCCATGGCAGTAAGAAGCGTAGGGGCCAGCTCACATTGTTTTTCCACTGGCAGACGAGGATAGCCCATCTTAACATAAATTATAGTAAAATTCTAATGCAGCAAGAGAAAGCAAGTGAGTATGGAGGGAAAAATTTGATTATATATAGTTATAGTTGTAACAAAAACATCACAAGAATCATCCTCTGTTTATTACAGTTTATCCAAATTACTCATCTCAGGGGAGGACCCTAAGCATGACTTCTTCAAACTGCTTGTTTTAAAGTCAGCTTTTTATGTAAGAAAGGTAACATAACCAAAAGCAGTCATATGTGCAACTACTATTGCTAAAGTTAGGAAAAAAAAAACCATTTAGCCTATCTAAACCTTTATAAGGCACATTATCATCAGATCTCCCAGTTTGCTGTATTAATCCGAGATCAGATGTTAACAAATCCCAAGCTTCCATTTCACAGATCAATTACTAAAGCCATCTTTAGAAACTACAGCACTCTGTGGTTCCTCAATCCAGTAATAACTCAGCAATGGATGACAGGTAATCCCAGGAAACGGAGTGCTGCAAATGTTATCAGTTGCTCTATAACCCATGCAAAATTTACAACTGAAGTAAACTCATGAATATAAATCCAGATTTACAAATAAGATAGTTGCTAATCTGAAGGATTCTTCACAAAAAATGAACATGCATCATAAGGCCTTCTATTTGACACAGTTATCGCATTTACTTAAAGGAAAGATACTGTCTTATAAGGGAACTGTATGTCGAAAACGGCCACAGCACCTCCCAAAGTTTTGTGACTCCTGATAAAACAACTTGGGAAATTTTGCCCCATTGTGAAAAAGAGCCAGGAAAAACCACTATGTGTCATATAGAACATCAACATTTTTTAAATTTTGTTTTCCTGAAATGTAATGAAGAGGAATACTTGCCAGTCTCATATTTACTCCACGACAAAAAAGGATATCTTTTGAGTATATACATCATAAAGCTTTATTATGCCTATGTGCTATAACCCTTCTCTTTTCAGACTTGTCTCATATACTAAGAATCAAATCACTGTTATTTACATAAAAACAAAAATTATATGTATTGGGCTGGGATATAGTTCAGTAGAATGCTTACCTTACATGCAAAAGGCCCTTGACTTAATCTCCCATACCACAATTTTTTTAAAAAGTATACATATTATAGAGTACCATGTAACATTTAAATTTATGTATAAATTATATACTGCTTCCATTAGGTTAAACATACCCTTAAATATCTATCATTTCATTAAGGTGAAACCTTGAAAGCCTTTTTTCTAGCTTTCTGTAAGTTTTGTTGTTGTTCCTGTATTCATAATCAAGAAGAGCATCCCATAATTTGTTCAGGCTGTTCTTCAACTTCTGAGCTCAAGTAATACCCCTCCCTCAACCTAACACTGTAAATGAACTACAAGTCCTACCACCACACTGAGCACCTCTATCAATTACCTACAATCAACCCCATAGGAAGAATAATATCAACCAACCAGACCCCCCCCCCAGAGCTCCCAGGGACTAAACCATCAACCAAGAGTACACATGGAGAGACCAATGGCTCCAACTGCATATATAGCAGAGGATGACCTTGTCTGGCATCAATGGGAGGAAAGGCCCTTGCTTCTGTGAAGGCTTGATGCCTCAGTGTAGGGGAATTCCAGGTTGGGGAGGCAGGAGTAGGTGAGTGAGTGGGTGGGTGAGAGAACATCCTCATAGAAGCAGGGGGAGGGAAGATGTGATAGGAGGATTCCAGGGAGGAAACCAGGAAAGGGGATAACATTTGAAATGTAAATAAAGAAAATATCTAATAAAAAATAATAAGTAGATAAAAAAATAAATTTAAAAAAAAAATTAAAAACTGGTCAACAGTACATCAGAAGTTCCTGTTCTCTAAACTTGGTACCTAGCAATTTATTTTTCCCCAGCTTCTGATAACCACAATTCTACTCTTAATTTCTTTGAGACTAACTTGTTCAGATTCTGTAAAAGTAAAATCATTCTTTTTTTATATTAAATACCTGACAGTCATTTTACCAACATCTCTTTGCCCAATAAACAGTCATTCATTACCTTGCTCCTATAACTTCTTTGAAGCAGTATTGCCTGTGAATCAGTACTCCGTGAGAAAATAACATACTTTTTTTTAAAAACAACTGTTTCAGTTAGGTATGGTCTAAGAATGAAACTTTAAGCTTGCCAATATAGATTGACGGCATCAACTAAACATTGAGAATTCCAAAATAATTCTCACCGTGACAAAGGAAACTGCAGCAGGGTCCTGGTACTGAACCAATAGTGTTTCTACTGGAAGCTGTATTTTGGGGCGGCTTTTTATACGTTTATTCAGATGGACCAGCAATTCCATTACCTAAAGCAAGGACAGAACTGGAATTATCAATCATATCTTAAAAATAAATTCATTTCTTAGATATTACTTATTTTAGTGAAAAGTACCTACTTCATTCTTTTAAGGACATAGAGCCTGTATCTCAGAAAGGGATGTATCAGAATCAGAAACATAGTATCTGCATTTTGCAAGATACCAAGATTATTACAATGTAAAATGCAATATTCTACTGTTTCTAGATACACTTGGATGGCCAAATCAAGGAGTACTTTTGAGAAAATGTAGTAGGAACACTGAGTTCTAGGGAATAGATAAATTTCAAGTAGAAAATTGGTTTACTAAGAAGGAACAGGGCTGAGTTCAAGGTCTACAGAGTGAGTTCGAGAACAGCCAGCGCTATACAGAGAAACTCCGTCTCAAAAAAAAAAAAAAAAAAAAACATAAAGAAAAAAAAAAGACGACGACGAAGGAGGAATGGGGTCTAAAAGAATATAGCAAATTATATCTATCTGAAACCCAGAGTGGTAAGAATTCATAAAAGTAGGATCTGAATTATAATAGAATTTAGCAAAATACTGAAATATGTTTATCCTGAAAAATCATCTAATACTACCAAGAATTTAAGTAAAAACATACAGCCTCCCTCCTCCCCTGAAATGTGAAAGAAACAAAAGTAGAAATTAACACATCAGCAATTCCTGTAGAAAGAAAGGAAAATATACAAGTTTCTGATAAATGACCACAGTATTATTCCAACATATTATATATTAAGAGAGAAGAAAATGAACACTAAGAAATGAGATCTTTTTAAATCTTACCCAGAAGAAACACTGAACGTTTTAACTAGTCTGGAGGGCTGCATCTATGATATATCACTCCTAAAATATACACTGAAGCCTCAAAACACATGTCAGTGAAAGCTACAGTTTTGATTTGATGTTTTTAGATCGCCCTTTGGTATAAGTATGTACTTATTTTTGCTGGATATAAATCCAAGTGTTTGGTCAGTAGGTTACGCTAATGCCCAGTTTGAGCAGATATTTTCAAGTACTTTTCAAAATGATCACAACAATCTATACTTCTCCCAGTAGTATTTAAGAGCTCACATTCTACAGCCTTGCTAACATCAAATATGGTCAGGCATTAACCTTCCTCTATTCTAATAAAGTTTAATAAAAGTTAACTATAACAGAATTCTACTTAGCAACTCTCATTTTCTTAATTAAAAAAAAGCCAAGCAGTGTTGGCACATGCCTTTAATTCCAGCACTCAAGAGAAAGTAACAGGCAGATCTCCAAGCTCAAGGTCAGCCTGGTGTATAGAGCAAGCTCCAGGACAGCCAGGACTTTTACACAGTGAAACCCTGACCTGAAAAACCTAAATAAATAAATAAATAAATAAATAAATAAATAAATAAATCTGAGTCTTATTTTATATAGTTATGAAAGAGGAAAAACTGTATTATAAATTTGTGCTCAATCTTTTATTAGCAATATTAACCAAATGACAATTATTATTACACTGGTTCTATAATTTACAAGGCATAACAGTGAACAACTATATACTATAAAAGTAAAGACACCTATCAAGACTCCACTGTCTAAAAATCAAAATAACACTCATGAGAAGTTCTAACCTCTATCTATTTACTTTGGCTGGCTTTGGATGAATTAAATTTACTTTTGTAAATATAGTTTAAAAAATTAACATGTGTGGCCATTACACAGAAGCAGTACCTTGCAGAAACCAGATTAATTTTGAAATTGTCTATTAAGTCTTGACTCACAAACTATACTGTTAGTCATGTGATATAAGGCAAATTACTTACCTATTCTGAGTCCCAGTTTTTTCATCTACAAAATAGGAATAATTAGAGCACCTATACCTCACAGAATTGTTAAATTGAGACACCAACCAAAATTTTGGCTATTACTATTAATTTCAGGATTTTTCCCATCTGTAGGACTCAAATGACAATACTTCAAAGCAAGAATATTGAATGAAAATATCTATCAGAGTGGCACAATGTTAAAGTCTATCAGCTTTAATTATCATTTCCTTTTTCCCAGAAGCTTTCAAGTTTGCTTAACAGCATCCCTTTGGTAATAAATATATACGTAAATATATATAACAGACTATAATTACTAATAAAATGTTAAACTTGCACATCAAAATACAGAAAGCCAAAAATATTAAACAGGAAAACTACAACCACAGAAGGCTGAAATTCATGACTATCAATATACAAGACTAGAAGACAGATTCTCAAGACATAACTGTAGAGTGTTACCTGCAAATAGTCTCAGGGCATACTAAACTCCACATTCAACAAACAAGAATTTTTTTTAATATTATGAAGTATTTTTCTCAGAACATGAATACCCTTTAGATTGGAGATGTAATTCAATGGTAGAGCACATGCTTCTCACACACAAAAGCCTATGTGGTAACCATCCAAAGTACCACCACAGGAAAAAAAAGCTTAAACAATGGTCTGGTCTCAGTCTACAATGTAATAAAACAAGGAAAATTTTGCAACAAATATTTCAAAACTAAAAACAATGCTTTTACTAATTATTAAGTCAAAAATAAAAGCAAACATTGCTCTTTTCTAAGGTATAACCAGAACAACAAAGACAAATTCATAAACAAGTTTTTCATTTTGAGCATTCTTGAAAACATAATTAGTGACAAAAAATTTTATTTAGTCACTTATATTTTAAATGTTAAATCCTGGCTCACTCATTATTTGGTCATTTAAGAATTCATTAACTAGCCAGGCAGTGGTGGCACATGCCTTTGATCCAAGCACTTGAGAGGCAAAGGCAAGCAGATCTCTGTGAGATCGAGGCCAGCCTGGTCTACAAAGGAAACTTCAGGACAGTCAAGGCTAAAAATTGGGGGGAAAAATTAATAATTGAGCTGGGTGGTGGTGGGACACACCTTTAAAACCAGCAATAAAAGGTTTAATAGAGGGCTGAGATATACAGATCTGTGAGTTCAAGGCCATCCTTTTCCACATAGTCTTCCATGGCAGCCAGGGCTACATATAAACAAATAAAAATAAAAGTTCATTGATCATTCTAAACTTAGCTTCATCTGTAAAATGTGGGAAAGAACTAATTCATATTATCTTGTATAAACTTATAACTTCTTAGCACTTTTCTTAACACATAATCATTATTATACTATCATATAAATAAAAATCTTATATGAGAAAAAAATAATTTGAGTAAAACAGAAAAAATGCAATTAACAAGAGGAAAAACCTAATCACTGGTTTGTCTTTTAAAACAGGTTGGGGCATGGCTGAGTGGCATATTAATTGTCAAGCATGTAGAAACCACTAGGTTAAAGATCAGAACAATCAATCAATCAATAAGCAAGCAATCAAATAAATACCATAATTTTGATAATAGTAACCAATAAAAACTAGAGATAAGAGCTGAGAAGATGGCTTAATCAACAAAATGCCAGCTACACAGGCCTGAGCTCATCCTCCCAGAATCCTTTTTTTTTTTTTTCTTTCTTTTTTTTTTTTTTTTTGGTTTTTCGAAGACAGAGTTTCTCTGTATCGTCTTGGCTGTCCTGGAACTCACTTTGTAGACCAGGCTGGCCTTGAACTCAGAAATCCACCTGCCTCTGCCTCCCAAGTGCTGGGATTAAAGGCATGCGCCACCACTGCCCGGCTCCAGAATCCATTTTTTAATAAAGAAAAAAAGCTGGACATGATCCCACACATATACCTGTACTGGGGAAATGAAGCCAGCAGGATCCCTGGGGCTCACTGGCCAGCCAGTCTAGCCAAATCAGTGAGGTCCAGGTGTAGTAAGAGATCATGCCTCCTTCAAAGAATAAAGAAAGGGATGGAAAGATGGCATGGGGGCCACAAATTGCTCGTTTTGATGACCCAGACTGAATTCCCAGAACCCACTTAGTGGCTCACAACCATCTGTAACTCCAGTTCCATGAGATCTGATTGTTCTCTTCTAGCTTCAGCGGGCTCCAGGCATCCATATGGTACACAGACATTCATTCATTCATGCAGGCAAAACATCCATGCAGACAAAATGAAAATTTAAAAATCTTTAAACATATTTAAAAGGTGGTACACAACTAGGAGAGACACCCAACATCAATCTCTAGCCATTACATGTGTATGATCACATGCACATACAAGCATGTAAACACACACACACACACAAACCTAAGAACAAGAATGAAAGTCTCCATTTGAAAAAAATAATAGGATAAATAGTATAACAGAACTGAATGGTATATGACCTAAAATTAGTAGGTCATTAGGAATAGATGATTTTCTACACCCCCTTCAAAAAAAGGATAAAATACAAAGAAATAAAAATACATAAACAAGCTTGGGTTTTTAGTTTGTTTGTTTTTATAATCTACTAAAAATACTCAGCCTTAACCTAAACAATGGTTCTCTAGCTACTTCCTTTTGGCTTCCACTCGAAGTATCTCCAGCAGCCAAATAAAGATATCACTAACATCCTTTCACATCAGTGCCCTAGAATCCTGTTTCTCCTATCCCTCATCCTTTCATCCACTGTGGCCTCTTTAGTTCCCCCAAGGGAATCACATTCAGTCCACCATCTCTTAACCTGGTGGATCTCCTTGTTAACAAAGAACCCTCCCATCCATCATAACCACATTCTCCTGTTCTTTCATCAACTCCTTTTTTCTTCCCTCTTAGTAAAAGTAAAATGTCCTCCCATGAGCCCATATATTTTATTCCTTGGTATCCAGCTTGTGATGCTATTTGAAAAATAAAACCTTTTTAGGAGAGGACGTCTCACTAAGTGAAGTTGGTCACTGGGGAGCAAATCTTCTGATTTTATAGACAGGCCTCACTTCCCATCCATTCTCTGCTTACTGAGTACACATAATATGAGCATTTGCCTTCATATTCTTCATATGCTTACAACTATGCCTTCTAGTCATCCTTTTTTAAACTCTGAGCCAAAATAAATTCTTCCTTCCTTAACTAGCTTCTGTTAGGAATTTTGCCTAAGCAAGAGAAAAAAAATACAACATGTACCATAAATCAGTTCAGTAAATAACCAGACTAATAACAATAAGTAAATAAACATCAATTTGTAAAAGGCCTTTGATACCCTGATAGCAAGAAAAATCCACTGAAGGTTTTAAATAGGAAAATGGCATGACCAATCAAACTCTACCTCAGCGAATATGGATTAACAGCAAATAAAAATAACAAGTATATGGCAAGACTGTCCATCCTTTCCTGAAACAAACAAAGACATTCTGGGAGATACTTTTCCCACTGAACTCAAATCAGGGTCTCTTAAGGTAGACATTCAAGTCAATATCAACCAATTATAGTATGCCAAGAGATGAAACCTGGTGACAGCTAAAAGACCAGAAGATCTATCACAAATACACTGGAAAAAAATTATTATGTTACAAATTAAAGGGGAAAGTGTTCCATATAGAGTAATTTAAAAATAAAATTATGATATTATAATTATATAGCTTTTTGGAACAGTATTTTGAAGGATGTAAAGTCTAAGTTATATAAGAATAGCTCATTTTCAAAAAGTTGATTTGGTTACCTTTATTACCTTTATTTAAGGATACATTCGCCATCAACTATTGATTAAAGAATATTTCTCCTTTCTAAACTGGCTTTCATATTCAGCTTTAGATCAGTCCAGATAATTATCTTGATTAAATTATCTGACACTGGTAACAAGAACAAGTAGTGAAGACAGCTGTACTAGATAGGCATTTATGCTCTTTCATTTTGAAAGCTAATTCTTAGACTTACCATACATTTGGAAAGCTGTAACGAATCATGAACCTACATTTCAACAATGGGAATAGAAAACTCACTTCAATCAATATATATATATCCACTTATTCATCATTTATTTCCCCAAACGGTCCCCAACATGCTTACTTTTTTCCGTACTCCTTCTTGGGTGCTGGACAGTTTGAGCAAAACAGGAGGAAGGAATTTAGATATAATATTTTGTAACTGTTCATCTGTTTCAGCATGGCCAAGTCGTAAAAAGACCCGTTCGAGCTGATCTATAATATAAAACAAAAAACAAGAGAACTTGGCAAACCAAACATAAACAAGCCTATTTTTATAGCTTAATTCTTCTTTCTGTACTGCAGATCCTTCAGTCAAGAATTTCAACCAGACTAGCCCCACAGACAAATGATTGTGATACAACCAGAAACTACTGCTAAAAACGGTTCTATTATCTAATCATGTACACCTGTTTTTAGACAGTTAATCTCTAAAAAGGAGAATAACTAAGAATAATTCAGTTACTTAGTCTTTTTGAAGGAGTTAGTTACTAAGAATAGATGTAAGTTGGTTTTTGGGTTTTTTTTTGTTTTTTATTTGTTTGTTTGTTTGTTTGTTTGTCTAAATAATCTTCTAAACCTAGCTAGGAGAACACAACAGAGGAACTTGGACTAAATGTCAGGAACTAACTGAGGAAGTTTCTCCAAAGACAGAATCATTGACCACTACTATGCTGGGACTAAATTAGAAAATCAGAGACAAGTATCCCACAGGAAGCTATAGTGAGAACCATGTTGGACAAGACCATGGGAATGTATTCAACAAAATGTAGATATTAATTATTAAACAAGCCACCATGTATCTTTGCCCAATGTACTATACAGAACAGAGGGGAAGGTGATGGAGAAGAAAACTCACACGAAAGCCAGATACCTGATTACAAACCACTGTTAATTTTTTAGGTACACATTTATGGGGCCATAGGTTTGAACCTCAACACTGAAAAAAAAAATGTGCTTTAATGAAATACTTGTTTCTCAAAGGCTCTTATATGGCACTGAGCACAGTGGTGCTTGACTGTAATCTCAGTATTTGAAAGGCTGAGGCAGGAGGACCACTCAAAATTTAAGGCTAGGCTGGTCTTCGTAACAAGATAACTGTTTCAAAAAGGGATAGGGACGCCTCAGCAAGTAAAAGCTCTTGCTGTGCAAGGATGAAGATCCAAGTTCAAACCACCAGAACTCAGGCAAAAACCTGGGTATAGTCATATGCATATCTATAACCCTGTAACTGTGAGCAAGCAGACACAGAAGGATCACTGGGCCTTGCTGATGAGCAACCTTATCTCGAGTGAATAGGGTGTAGAGTAATAGAGCAAAACACTCAAAACCTCCTCTGTGCATGGGGATACTTATCTACAAAAATACACATGGGTATAAACACTACACTATGCAACACCCACACACACCACAAATCACTTGTAAAAATTATCAGTAGGAATGAGCTGAAAATATTTTATATCTTGATCAGTGCATCATGCCAACTATACCTCAATTTTAAAACATATTTTTAAAAGTCTTTACTACTTAGTGATTAAAAACAAAAACATACTCAGATGAACTAATACAGTTACTGAAATTTACTTCAAATACTAAAGTTAGCCAAAAGACAGGCATCAGGAGTCATATAAATGAAACTCAGACTACCCACTGACTAATAATTAGCCAAGTTTTGTAAAGAATACTAAGAATTACTTTTTTGTTTTATGTGCATTGGTATTTTATCTGCATGTATGTCTGTGAGAGGGTATCAGGTCCCCTGGAACTGGAATTACAGACAATTGTAAGCTGCCATATGGGTACTGGGAAGAACAGTGCTCTTAACTGCTGAGCCTTCACTCCATCCCTAAGAATTACTTTTTTGTTTGCCTCAAATATTCCATCTGTGAAAGAAAGTAGCTAGATCTATCAATGAGTGAGCCCTGAAAGAATAAAAGCAGCAACACCCATGTAGAAACATACAAGCTCTATAGCCAACATGAATCTTATTTTAAATATAATTGAGTAATAAAAGAAGACAGACTTCTTAGGAAAATAACTAATTCTAGAGCTTAGGACAGGAAAAAAGATTTTTAAAAGGTAGCCTGAAACATCTAATAGTACTAGAGATGAAACGAAAATTGTCAAAAAGGTATTGAAATCAATCTAAAAGAACTCTTGCTAGCCAATACTGGATCAACTAACAGAACACAATAAATAGTATAGGGCTGGGTTTAAAAGCCAAACTAGAAACCCACGCTGGTCTTTATTGATGTCAATAAACTAAAGGAAAAAGGTAAGCCTTTCTTATGGAAGAACTCAAAATAATATATTCCTCAAGGAAGAATAGCTTCATCCCTGCCCTATTTCTCTTTTCAGGGTACCCTAGATTTAGTTACTACTTAAAACAGAAGGAAATATATTAACTTTACAATGGAAAAATATTCTTGCCCAAGAAAAGACAGTTTATATCAACAGTAACATCATATAATGTGTGCATGATGAGATGAAACAAGAGAGACATTTCAGCATTCTAAAACCCACCATCCAAGTCTATTTGCTGGTAAAACATCAGAAAATCAAAACTGAAAGACACTCTACAGGGTACCTGATCAGTATTTCTCAATATTGCCAAGATCATGAAAAGGCAAAAGTTGGGGGAAGCAAACTAAGATACTGCCCCAGAGAGGCTAGGGTTAACTAATGAATGCAGCCTTAAACAGGATCCTGGGAAAATGAAAGACAAATAATAATAATAATAGCCTACCCCCAAATCTATACCATCTACGAATGGCTGAGACTGGTGAAAGAACCAGACCTGCTATTCCAAAGCTCCAGGATCTCCATGACACAGAGCAACAACAAGACAACCAGAAGAAGTACCAATGAGGATCCAATACCGATGGTGTCACAGAAGCCAGAGATTTGGAAACAGACCAATGACTCATTGCAAAAGATATTTTCAAGTGAAGATGTGTGGACAGAGGGATATACTGTGGGACAAACTGCGACACACTACAACTTCCACCAAGGGATGTTTTCCATGCTTTGGGGTGTTGTTGTTGTTGTTGTTGATGATGATGTTTCCTATGCTTTGAGGTGGTGGTGGTGTGTGTGTGTGCGTGTGTGTGTGTGTGCCCACGTGCGCATGCACACGCACACACAAGTATATATTTTATTTTTGGCGGTGAAGGGCAGATATGAGGGGACAAGGAGATGAGCAGGATGGGATACATGATATGAATCTTACAAAGAATTAGTTCTCAGAAGATGGAAAGATCTCCTATGCTCATGGATTGGCAGGATTAATATAATAAAAATGGCCATCTTGCCAAAAGCAATCTACAGATTCAATGCAATTCCCATTAAAATCCCAACTCAATTCTTCACAGAGTTAGAAAAGGAAATTCTCAAATTCATATGGAATAACAAAAAACCCAGGATAGCAAAAACTATTCTCAACAATAAAAGAACTTCGGGAGGAATCACCATCCCTGACCTCAAGCTGTACTATTGAGCAATAGTGATAAAAAACTACCTGGTATTGGTACAGAGACAGGCAGGAAGATCAATGGAATAGAATTGAAGACCCAGAAATGAACCCACACTCCTATGGTCACTTGATCTTTGACAAAGGAGCTAAAACTGTCCAGTGGGAAAAGGACAGCATTTTCAACAAATGGTGCTGGTTCAACTGGAAGACAACATGTAGAAGAATGAAAATTGATCCATTCTTATCCCCTTGTACAAAGCTCAAGTCTATGTGGATAAAGGACCTCCACATAAAACCAGATACACTGAAACTAATAGAAGAGAAGGTGGGGAAAAGCCTCGAATACTTGGGCACAGGGGAAAAGTTCCTGAACAGAACTCCAATGGCATATGCTCTAAGATCGAGAATTGACAAATGGGACTTCATAAAATTGCAAAGTTTCTGTAAGGCAAAGGACACTGTCAATAGGACAAAACGACAACCAACAAATTGGGAAAAGATCTTTACCAATCCTTCATCTGATAGAGGGCTAATATCCAATATATACAAAGAACTCAAGAAATTAGACTCCAGACAACCAAATTACCCTATTAAAAAATGGGGTATAGAGCTTAACAAAGAATTTTCAACGGAAGAAACTCGAATGGCCGAGAAGCATCTAAAGAAATGTTCAGCATCCTTAGTCGTCAGGGAAATGCAAATCAAAACAACCCTGGGATTCCATCTCACACCAGTCAGAATGGCTAAGATTAAAAACTCAGGTGATAGTAGATGCTGGCGAGGGTGTGGAGAAAGAGGAACACTCCTCCATTGTTGGTGGGACTGCAAGATGGTGCAACCACTTTGGAAATCAGTCTGGCGGTTCCTCAGAAAATTGGACATAGCATTACCCGAGGATCCAGCTATACCACTCCTAGGCATATACCCAGAAGATGCTCGAACATATAACAAGGACATATGCTCAACTATGTTCATAGCAGCCTTATTTATAATAGCCAGGAGCTGGAAAGAACCCAGATGTCCTTCAACTGAGGAATGGATTCAAAAAATGTGGTATATTTACACAATGGAGTATTACTCAGCTATTAAAAACAATGAATTTGAGTGTTTCCTAGGTAAATGGATGGAACTAGAAATTATCATACTGAGTGAGGTAAGCCAATCACAAAAGAAGACACATGGTATTCACTCACTGATTATTGGATATTAGCCTAGAACCTTGAAATGCCCAAGATGCAACTCACAGGCCACATGAAGCCCATAAAGAAGGAAGACCAAGTGAGGGTGATTTGGTCCTTCTTAGAAGGAGCAACAAAATACTCAAGGGAGCAAATATGGAGACAAAGTGAGGGACAGAAACTGAAGGAGGGGCCGTCTCAAGACCACCCCACCTGAGTATCTATCCCATGTGCAATCACCAAAGGTAGATGCTGATGTGGAAGACAGGAAGTGCATGCTGATAAGAGCCTGATATGGATATCTCCTCAGAGGCCTTCAAGAGTCAGACATATTCAGAGGCAGATGCTCACAACTAGCCATTGAACTGATCATGGGGTTCTCAATAGAGGAGTTAGAGTGAAGACTGAAGGAGCTGAAAGGGTTTGTGGCACCATGAGGAGAGCAACAATACCAACCAACCACAGCTCCCAGGGTCTAAACCACCAGCCTGGGAGCACTTAGGGGGGGATCCAGGGCTTCAGCTGAATATGTAAAAGTGGAGGGCCCTGCTGGGCATAGGTGGAAG